CAAGCATTTACCACTTTTATCTTAGTTAATTTACATTTGTAGTCATTTGTTGACTTACTCATAATGATTTGCCTAAAAGTCTGTCTCTCCCATTGGACAGGAATCTCAATGGTAGCAGAGATTACTTGTCCATTAATATTGATGATGGCCAGCTGATAAATTACCACTGTTCTCTTGAATTAGGATAAACATTGTGAATTGGTGCGTCCCTCAGGCTTGGCGTACAGATACTCATTAAATTTTGTTGTTGTTTACCAACCTCCCCTTGGCCCAGAATATCTGCTTGCGAAACAGAATCACAGATTGATTTACCAGACATAAAACTTACTTCTGGATTTTTTTAATTGGTCCATCATCCCACTGTTAGGGGACTCCCAGTCCCACAGTAGTTAAATATAAGAAATAGATGATTTTGGGATCCCTGGGTGGCGCAGCGGTTTAGCGCCTGCCTTTGGCCCAGGGCGCGATCCTGGAGACCCGGGATCGAATCCCATGTCGGGCTCCCGGTGCGTGGAGCCTGCTTCTCCCTCTGCCTGTGTCTCTGCTCCTCTCTCTCTCTCTCTCTGTGTGACTATCATAAATAAATAAAAAAATTAAAAAAAAAAAAAGAAATAGATGATTTTAAAATTAAAGCAATAGTAGCAAAAAATGTTGCCAAATAATGATTCATTTGATAACAAAGATAAACTTTTATTGTACATCTTTTAAAAAGATCTGCCAGTTAGCTTTAAAGAGATTGAAAACAGGGACTCCCGGTGTCTCAGTGGTTGAGCGCCTGCCTTTGGCCTGGAGGGTGATCCTGGAGACCCGGGATCGAGTCCCATGTCGGGCTCCCTTCATGGATCCTGCTTCTCCCTCTGCCTGTGTCTCTGCCTCTCTGTCTCTGTGTGTGTGTCTCATGAATAAATAAATAAAATCTTTAAAAAAAGAGATTGAAAATAAAAAATGTATTTTATATTCATATTTATTTTTGGCATTTTCATCACTATCCATTTTTCCCAAGTTTTCATTCTTTATATTCCTTCTGCCTGAGAACTTCCTTTCACTCAATTTCTTGGAGTACAGGCTTACCAGCTATAAGTTTTCTCAGCTTTAGTTTGTTTGAAAACCTTTGCCTTCATTTTCCAAAGGTATTTTCACTAGATATGGAATTCTGGGTTGACTTTTTTTCTTTAGAAATGTCACTTCAGGGATCCCTGGGTGGCGCAGCGGTTTAGCGCCTGCCTTTGGCCCAGGGCGCAATCCTGGAGACCCGGGATCGAATCCCACGTGGGGCTCCCGGTGCATGGAGCCTGCTTCTCTCTCTGCCTATGTCTCTGCCTCTCTCTCTCTCTCTCTCTCTCTCTCTCTCTCTGACTATCATAAATAAATAAAAATTGAAAAAAAAGAAATGTCACTTCATTGTCTTTTGATTTGCACAACCTTTTTCATCGGTGAATCTTTCCCTAGTGGGGACAAGGGAAATGTTTCCTACACATGACCCAGAGGCACAGAGATCTGCTTCTGCTTTTTAACTCAGAAGTAATGGATCTTTGCCCATGGCCTGGAGGGTGAGAGGGTTTGTAGGAAAGAAAAAGATCATGACATACAGTGAAATCCATGTGTGGATAGAGTTTGCATAGTCAGAATAATGCAGACTCTAAATATTGCTCTAAACAAATACCTTGTTAAGAGGACGTGAAGACAGAGTATTTCTGTTTGGGGAAGGGACAGGGATATTAAATGATGAGTTAAAATTGATATCTTCCATGATGTGAAGGCAATAGTTAAAGCTTAAGATTGAAAACCTGAAAATGTCAACCTAAGCACGTTATTTAGAAATAATGAGGTTATCAGCTGGGGCGCCTGGCTGGCTCAGTGAGAAGAACACGCGACTCTTGATCTCTGCGTTGTGAGTTCGAGCCCCACGTTGGGCATAGAAATTACTTAAAAAATAAAATCTTCAAAGGAACAAGGAAACTTGTTTAACAGCGTTAAATCAGATTACAGGGGTTGAAAGTGTTCAATTCTAAGAAATGCAAAATAGATAAGGAGGAGAGGTGGGACCTGCTGTTTTGTTACTAAGCCACGAGGAACATTATACTTTTTGAAAAAAGAATATAGAGCTTGGATAAAATTAAAAACAAAGTTCTAAAAGTGTTATAACACAAGGGTGTGGGTGAGAGTGTGGGGAAGATGGGCTGACCTACAATGGTGGAGGGTTTGTGAGTGGTATAACCTTTAAGGAGATCAGCAGAACATTACATCAAAATTCCAAATTCAATTCTAACTTCTAGCAATTTGTATACAGATATGCCAGAAACTGTTTTCATCAGCCTTGTATGAAGTAAGACTAGAAACAATGTAAACGTTACTGGTGAAGGAATAGTTAACGGCCATACAATGGAATACAGTTCAGCCATGAAAGGAAAAAGGAGGCTTTTTATGGACTATTGTGGAATAACCACCCAGATGTATTGCTAAGTGAAAAGCAAGATGCAGGACAGTGTGTATGGTTTACTACTATTTCTGGAAGGGGGGGAAGAAAAAAGCAGAGGAGGTGAACAACAATGTATATATTTTAATCTAAATAGACATAAATGCTTTCCTGAAGGTTACTAGAGAGAATTCCAGTTCTCCTTGTTGGTGTAGGGATGGGGCAGGAGGAAATATTTCACTGCACATCCTTTTGTGCCTTTTGAATTTTAAACCATTTGAGTCAATTACCCATATAAAGTTTTAAAAGTAAAATTCAAAAATAGATAAGTATATTGGGCTGTCCACAGAGAAAACAAATCTGACTTGATGTTTTCTATAATTTCCATCCTTTACTCTAAATGCCAAATGGATTAAAGGGCTAAACGAGAGAATCAAAATTTTAACACCTTTAAAATGTGCTAATGACATTAGGTTTGAGAGGACAGTCTTCAAGCACAAAAGTATGTGTCAAAAAGGGAGGACATTGATGTTTAATTTGACAACATTAAAATTAAAAACTGATGTGTAAAACACTGTAACTGGAACAACAGGATACTGACAGATGGAGGGAAAACTCTTAACAGCATAATTATCAAAGGTTTAGCATCCAGATTAGATAAGGAACTCCTAATAAATCAATGAGGAAAAAAGATAAAACATCCTTGTTGAATAGCATGAACAGGCACATCACAGAATAGGCAAAAAATATAAGGGGCAGTTTACGGAAAAAATGAACTATAGGAAAAAATATGAACTTCCTCAGAAGTCAGGGGAAAATGAGTCTATTTCATGTCCATCAGGTTGATAACAGCCTAAAAATGTGCCAGTTCCAAGTTTGCACCAGAATACAGAGAAAGGCACATTGTAATATTATTATAATATTATATGATGTATTACAAAGTATAATAATATATAAATATTTTATAGTGTAATATTATTACTAATATTATACTTTATAAATTTATTCCACTTTGGAGAGGAATTTAGTGATATCACTAAAATTGAAAGTGTACCTTCAGGAAATTCTTATACTTCTGCACAAGAGGCTGGCACACAAATATTTTTTGCATTACTATTTGTACTAACAGACTTTTGGAATTATCAAATAGCTCATTTGGTAAATTCCTAACAAGAACCCTAGGTATCATTTAAATCATTTCCTTGACAGAAAGTAGTGACTGAGACCGTGGCTCCCAGACCCAGGCCTTTGGGTTTGGAGCCCAGCGTCACTACGTGGTGGTGTCTAACTTGGGACAAATGATGGACCTCTGGGCATGGTTTCCTCATCTGTAGAACAGGAGCAATAGTATTCACCTCTTAGGAGTTGTATAAAGATGCGGTGAGTCATAGAACAATGTCTGACCCACTCTGCATCCATAAATATGAACTATTGTTTGTAAACATGTATGGGCCTGGGTAAATACATAAAGCATAAGGAAGTTTTTTTCAAGCAAGATGTCAAGTAATAACACAACTTACGTTATTTGTGTCCACTTGTATCCAGAGAAACAGTGTTGTTTATGAATATAGACATTGTGGTAGAAGGATGAACAAATAGGAAGGATATAACCACCTTTCAGGATAGTGTTTGTTTCTGAGGAGTAAAGGAAGGAAATGGAATTATCAGGGAAATGACAGGAGCTTCAGATATTTCTAACGTTTATTTATTTAAAATAAACATGTCTTTAAGTTTAAGTGGCCTACATGTGGGTGGCAGTTAAATCTCTACCTTGTATGTTTGAAATATTTCATAATTTAAAATTGTAAAAACTTCAAAACTGTCAGAGTGAGTTCAGAGAACTTGTTTGATTTCTTTTGCATGAAATTCTTTTCCCTTTTTAAAAAGGAAACTATATTCATTGTTAATTTTGATACAACAATTCAAAATACAAATTCCAATGGAAATGAGTACTCCAACATCCCTGGAAATAGCTGTTACTTATAACTTGTTATATATCTCCTCTGATTTTTTTTTAAGATTTTATTTATTTATTCATGAGAGACCCACAGAGAGAGAGAGAGAGGGAGAGGCAGAGACACAGGCAGAGGGAGAAGCAGGCTCCATGCAGGGAGCCCGACATGGGACTCGATCCTGGGTCTCCAGGATCACGCCCTGGGCCGAAGGTAGCTCTAAACCACTGAGCCACCCAGGGATCCCCTCCTCTGATCTTTTTAGGCGTATGTAGATATATATATATATATAGATATAGATATATAGATATAGATATAGATATATAGATATAATTTTTTTAATTTATTAGTTAGAATCACACTCTACATGCTGTTTCTTAATTTCTTTTTTCTTTTCACTCATCAATGCACCTGGACATCTTTCCATTTTAACATGTACATAGAGCTCTACCTCATAAACTCTACTTTTGGACATTATTTTAACAGAGGAGCTATTATCCTATAAGACTAATTTGGATGTGATCCTGTCTGAAGGAAAGATGATGGTATCAACAACCTCAAGATTTTTCTTATCATAGAATTTTATAGTTTTTGGAATGTTAATGTAGGCTATTTTCTTCTTTTTTTAAAAGACATTATTGTAAGAGCATCTCAAGCAGACGTCGTTACAATCGTGATTTGGAACAAGATGAAGCATTTATTCCAGTTGGAGAATCATTAAAAGACCTCATTGACCAGTCACAGAGCTCTGGTAGTGGATCCGGACTACCTTTATTGGTAAGATAAAATGCCATACAAACATGAATGGTTTATTGGTGCAGAATGTGTCCTTAGATGATGGTAGATAGCATAACCGTTACAGATTAGGGAACATTACTAGATATATTTTTTTCCTTCTTATTTAGAAAGATGGCTGCTGTCATGAAAGGAGAAATCAGTTAAAAATAAGAAATATGAAACAAAAGAAATAGAATAGGCAGTAGTAAGAAGAGCCACAGGCAAAGTTAGGAAAGAAAATGTGATCATGAAGTGCTGTGTCAGTGCTAGAGTTAGCTCCCAAGTTTTGCTTTTAACAGCCAACCTGAAGAGGAATCTGGTATAACTTCCTTGCAGCTGAGGTTACACTCATTGGTTGGGAGAAGTATGACTATTTCAACTTAATATATACTAGATATCCAGACATATTTTTAGTTGTTTGGTTGCACTGATTTAAAGTAAATCCATTGGGATCCCTGGCTCAGGGGTTAAGCGGCTGCCTTTGGCCCAGGGCGTGATCCTGAGGTCCCGGGATCGAGTCCCGAATCGGGCTCCCAGCATGGAGCCTGCTTCTCCCTCTGCCTGTGTCTCTGCCTCTCTCTCTCTCTCTCTCTGTGTCTCTCATGAATAAATAAATAAAACCTTAAAAAAAAAAAGTAAATCCATTGATCTATAATTTTTAAACTTCTTGAATTAAATAATTTTGTAATTGAATTGGAAAGGTAAAACTGTCTTCATGTGCAGACAACATGATTACACAGAAAAATTTCAAGGGTGATACCATAAAGCTACAACAACCAATAAGTGAGTTTGTCAGGGTTGCAGAATATAAGGTCACTGCACAGAAATCATTGAATTTAGGTACACTGGCAATGAGCAGTTAAGAATTAGAAAAGCAGTATCATTAAAATAGCTTCAAAAAAACATTAAATATTTAAGAATAAGCTTAACAAAAAAAATTTTTAAGATTTTATTTATTCCTAAGTTGATACTTAGTTTCTTATATTCTTATATTTCCATTCAATCCAAAATCAGAGCAAACTTTTGTAGAAATTGATAAACAGATATGACATTTATATGGAGATTCAAAGGACCTAGAAGAGCCAAGCAATTTTGAGAAAGAACAAAGAGGGTTCACCTCCTGATTTCTGGACCTAGTATAAGGCTACAATAATCAACGTATTGTGGTCTTTTTTTTTTTTTTTTAAGATTTCATTATTTATTGTGGAGAGACACAGAGAGAGGCAGAAACACAGGCAGAGGGAGAAGCAGGCTCCATGCGGGGAGACCGAGGAGGGACTCGATCCCAGGACCCCGGGATGATGCCCTGAGCTGAAGGCAGATGCTCAACCACTAAGCCAAGCCCCCCAGGTGCCCCTATATAATGTGATCTTTAAGGTTAAGGATAGATATGTGTATCAGTGGAAAAGAATAAAGAGTATAGAAATGGACACAAATATCACTTGATTTGGGTGCCCGAGTAATTCAGTGGGGAGAAGACAGTCTGTTCCACAAATGGTGCAAGGAAGATTGAGCATCCATTTCCCAAAACGTGTATCTTGACCCTTATCTCCAAATAAGAAATTACCTTGAAATGATCCATAGACCTGAATGTAAAACTTAAAGTCTAAAAATCTTTATAAGAAAATGTTTTAGATAATCATTGTCACCTTGGGTTAAGCAACAGTTTCTTAGGACACAAAAGACAGAAATCATTTTTTAAAATGATAAATTGACTTTCTCAAAATTTAAAGCTTTTCCTATTCAGAAGACACTTAAGCAAAGGAAAAAATAAGTCAGCCTGGCAACACAGATCTGAAAGAGTGAGTTGGACAATATATAAAGAACATTTACAATTCAGTAATAAGACACCCAATTTTTAAAAAAAGACGAAAGATTCAAACAGGTACTTCCCAAAATAAGAGAAAGGAATGGCAAATAAGCACGTGAAAAGGCAGGGTCGTGCAAATTAAGCATGAAAGCAAGATACTACACATCCGTTAGTGTGGCTAAGACCGAGAATATTAAGTACTGGGAAGAATCTGGATGAACTAGAAATCTCATACATACGTAGCTGATTGAAGCGAAAACGTTTCAGGCACTTTGGGAAGCAGGGTGACAGTTGACAGAAAAGTGAAACCTGTGCTTTCCTACCATGAAGCAGTTGTTCCACGACGTATTTACCACAGAAGGGTGTGCAGACGTGCCCACGTAGAGGCTCAAATGGGAGCATGCACAGCAGCTCTACTCATAAGACGTAAATCGTCGTCAACCCAAAAGGCCACCCGTGGGTAGATGGGAAACAGACCGTGGTTGGGTCCTACGGTGGAACGTGAGTGCTCAGTAAACAGATGCTGATCCAGGCAGCAGCCATACAGGCGGCTTTCAGAGTGTGTCCTGCTGAGTGGAAGACGCTAGACACAAGACTGCATACTGCACGTCTTCATTTATGTGATATTCTAGAAAAGAGAAAACTGGGGGAAGAAAACAGATCAGTGATGCCAGGGCCTGGGGGCAGGCAGGGAGGGGAACTGACTTTAAGGAGGCAAGAGGGAACACAGTTCTCCAAGAGTGGATTTTACGAATGCGTGTGGCTCGTACCTCAATAATCCTGACTTTCTTTAAAAATTACAAAAGGATTCTGAAACAAATGATACATAAAGCCAGTCAGTTTGGGTATGCACAAAATCGAGTCCACTTTAACTGTGTTTCCAACCTGAACCTTGGGGTTCTTTGTAATTTGGAATGGCCACGAGTGCTTCTGAAAATGACAGGTGGCGATAACAACCGTGCATCTTCGGTTCAATAAAAATGAATGAGAGCACTTCTATCTCAGGTGTGCCCCTAAACGATGCCTGTGTTCTGGAGTAGGAAGTAGAATCCAAGCAATACATGTAGAAAAATAATAAAATCATAATTGTAAGAGCAGCAGCAGAGAGGTGTGCGTGCGCCCTGAAGGGGTCACAGAGAAACAGGCCTCCGCAGGGACTGCACGTGCAGAGAAGCTGGGTCGGGGACGTGTGCCACTGAGCTCCAGCAGCTGACTCCGGGGTGGCCAAGAGGGCCGCGGTGGGTCACGATAGCAAAGGAGGCTGGAGAGGCGGGTGGCCGGCGCGCGATGGCGCAGTGACTGCAGAGAAGACGTCACTGTCACCTGGTTTTGCTGCAGGACGATGCGGCCGCAGAACAGAGGGACGGCAGGTGCGGAGCGCCGTGGGTGCCGGGCCTGCCCAGGTGCCCACCCCGGGTGGGCGCAGACAGCTCGCCACCTGGCCGGGCCGCGTGTGGTTTCACGTTGGAAACTGGACCTGGGGCGGGCCGTGCCGCGGGCAGGGACAGGCCCCTGCATCCCTCAGCAGCCGCTTTTCCACAGACCTTTCGCTTTCTTCCGTGCAGGTTCAGCGAACTATCGCCAAGCAGATTCAGATGGTTCGGCAAGTGGGGAAAGGCCGGTACGGAGAAGTGTGGATGGGTAAATGGCGTGGGGAGAAGGTGGCGGTCAAGGTGTTCTTCACCACGGAGGAGGCCAGCTGGTTTCGGGAGACGGAAATCTACCAGACTGTGCTGATGCGCCACGAGAACATTCTTGGTGGGTACACGCGCGCCCGCGGCCGCAGCCCGCAGTGGGGCTGAAGGAGACCCGAGGGAGGAGCAGCTCAATACGGCACCAAATGCCCAGACCCCGTTCCTGCCCATCCGCCTGGGACAAAAGGCAGTTTCAACTCGGAAGCAGGGCTGCCTTGTTAGGCTTCCTCGTACAGTCACAGCCCAGGTTTTTTAAAGGAGATTTAAGTGACTTTGGGGTGTGACGTTGACTGCATGTGCCCTTCGCCTCTCCCCGCCTCCACTTACAAAACAGAAAATGAACTCGGGTTTGCTCTGATCAGTCTGGTGGGCGCCTGCCCTCCAGCTCTCCTGGCCTCTCAGCTACCATTTCCCCGCCCTTTAATTTAGAGACTGCGTCGCACGTTGCCACAAGTGCTCCAGACACGTGACTCTCAGCCTCCTAAGGGCTGTCACAACAGAGCACCGCGAACTGGGTGGCTTGAAACAACAGAAATTTATTTTCCCAGAGTTGTGGAAGCCAGAAGTGTAAAACGAGGGTGTCAGCAGGACCAAGGCTCTAGGAGAGGCCCCCTCCTTACCTCTTCCCAACTTCTGGTGATTTCCAGCACTTTCTGACATTACTTGGCTTGGAGACAGGTCCACACTCCCCTCTTCTTGTAGGGATACTGGTCGTTGAATCGGGGCCCACCTCCCCTGAACTCGGTTGTGTCTGCAAAGACCCTCTTCCATATCAGGTCACATGCAGGTTCCAAGCAGCCTCGAATTGCTGGGGGTGGGGGTGCCCGCCATTCAGCCCAGCACCCCCGGACCTGACGGGAAAGAGGCCACAGCACGGGCCTGCTGATCAGGAGCCAGTCGGGGAGGCACCTGCGCTGAGGCTTGGTGGGCATATGGGAGCTAGCTCAGGTAGCAAGCAGCACACTCTTGGTTGAACATTTTACTTTATTATTTTAACGTGTCCACCTTTCAACTTGAAACTGAGACCTTTTCCGTATTTCTTCTTAAAGTTCTTCATGCTTAGAGAATCCTGTTGATGGATCGTATTTCCTCAGGTTATTTTCTGACCTGTGATCTTCCCCTTAGTTACGCAATGGTCCTTCTCATGCTGATCGTTAAGATCATTTTAAATATACTGCGGAAGTGTGGAGCTGTCTTTGTAAATGGCAGGGAAAATGGTACACACTCAAGAGATTTTGTTAGGAAAATTAACTTTTTTTATTATCTATACACAATACCTGAGTTATTCTCAGTATCCTGAATGAGCAGATGTTATCCTTCCTACCATCTCTGATAACTAACCCTTTAAACTCGTTAATTGAACAGGTTTCATAGCAGCAGACATTAAAGGGACAGGCTCCTGGACTCAGCTCTATTTGATTACTGATTACCATGAAAACGGATCTCTCTATGATTTCCTGAAATGCGCTACGCTGGACACCAGAGCCCTGCTCAAGTTGGCTTATTCAGCTGCCTGTGGTCTGTGCCATCTCCACACAGAAATTTATGGCACCCAAGGAAAGCCTGCAATTGCTCATCGAGACCTAAAAAGCAAAAACATCCTCATTAAGAGAAATGGAAGTTGCTGTATTGCTGACCTGGGTCTTGCTGTTAAATTCAATAGGTAAGCGGTTCCCTGCCTGCTGTCTTGGCGGCATTGTACTCTCCCGCAGGTACTTGCCTCTTTGGATTCAGGACAGCGCAACCCCAAACACGTATTTGGGCTTAACTGGTGATATCAATAGTTGGGTTTTTTTGTCTTGGTGCTTAGTTTTTCTGTTTTAGGTTTTTGTTTTTGTTTTTTTTTTAATAAAAATTACATCCTATTCCACATAATTCTTGATTTCCTGCTTTTTATTGTCTTAGACATCATTCTGTTGTAATTTATGTAGGTCTACTTCATTCTCTTTAACAAGATTGATGCAGTTTTCCATCATTATGTGGATAGACTATAATTTATTTCATCTGTGACCCAACTAAGTCCCTACTTTATTATTTTATTATTTCAAAAAATGCTTTAATTGTATTTTACCCATTATGTAATATCCTTGGCTACTTGTGTAAGTATTTGTTCGTGGTGGATTCCTAGAGAAGGGACTGACCAGAGTGTGTGCCTGTTAAAGTATAGCATAATTGCGAGCTACCCCTTTGGGAAGCGTGCGTCAGTAAACACTCCCAGAAACAGGGTCACAGGCATGCCACTTCTCCATCACCGCTTGAAATTGTCAATATTTTTTAAACAGAATTATCAAATTTTTAGGAAACCATTGAAACTTTTAATATTGTTACAACTCTAAGGTACAGCAGCCAATTTACATTTCAGAATTCATTTCAGGTTATAAAATAAAAGTACAGGTCTATAATAAAGCAAATATTAACATTTAAATCATCTTCCCTAGTTGTTACGGTGCTCTGACCCTGTCGTTCTGTATCTTTCTAGTGTTCGTTGGCTCAAATACTCATCAGGAACTCTAAGAAAATCTAAAATATGGGCAGCCCGGGTGGCTCAGCGCTGCCTTCAGCCCAGGGCGTGATCCTGGAGACCCAGGATTGGGATTGGGATCGAGTCCCGCATCGGGCTCCCCGCAGGGAGCCTGCTTCTCCCTCTGCCTGTGTCTCTACCTCTGTCTCTGTGTCTCTCATGAGCAAAGAAATAAAATCTTGAAAAAAAAAAAGAAAAAGAAAATCTCAAATACATTATATCAATCTCGGCTTCAGAGTAGTTTCCAGAACCCACCAGAATTGGGGGCCTAAGCAATAAAGCTTTCATGTCTTCTAACTCTAAAATTTAGTTCAAATATTGAAAAACCAATAAACCTCATTTGTTACTGATTGCTGGTATGATTATATAAACATTACTTAAAACAGAATTAAGTTGGTTGGACCTAAAAAGAAAATGTAATCCTATGTCACAGAGGCTGAGTTTATCACGTGAGAACAGAAAAAGCTAATGATTCCTCTCAATTTATTTTCACATTCGCTTGTTCCAGGACATAATTATCTACTGCTTTTTTGTATATTCAGTGCTGTCCTTTTTCTTAGGCACAAACTTCTTTGGTGGCAAAACTTGAACTGATGTGAGGTATTTATTGTCTTTATCCAGGATAATATGAATATTCATACTTAGCTTTTCACTGGGGACAGTAATGATTCTGAATGGTGCCCCGGGCCCTCTTAACCCCGGGGTGTTGTGTAACGTGTAACATACAGTTACAGGATCTGTTACTTTTCTAAACTCTAGAAAATGCTAAATTTTAAAATCTTATCTGGTCCCAAGGACTCCTGTTAAGGGAATGTGGAGATAGTAGATTGGTTGATAGGTAAATAGGTAGATTTTTTTTTAATTTCATTTTTTTAATATCTTTATGTGGAGTGTGTGTGTGCGCGCGCGCGTGCAGAGGAAGAGGCTGACTTACAAAACGTGACAAAAATGTAAGATGAGCGATTTTGTTCCTGGCCCTCAACCTGAACACTGTCTTCTGTTTCAGCGACACAAATGAAGTTGACGTGCCCCTGAATACCCGGGTGGGTACCAAACGCTATATGGCTCCAGAAGTGCTGGATGAGAGCTTGAATAAAAACCATTTCCAGCCCTACATAATGGCCGACATCTACAGCTTTGGCCTGATCATTTGGGAAATGGCTCGTCGTTGTATCACAGGAGGTAAGACTTCAGGTGTGGGCTTCTGGTTATGTTAGTAGTAACAGCTCCATTCGTATAGTTTAGGTGTCATATATGTCCGGGATCCCAAGGCCACTCCCAGGTCTGTGATTTCACTACCAGGACACACAGGACTCCGCATATAGTTGTCCACATAGCTGAGATTTATTACAGTGCAAGGATACAGATAAAATCAGCCGAGGGAAACGGTGCATGGTGCAAAGTTCAGAGGAAGTCAGGCACAAGCTTCCAGAAGGCCTCCCCCAGTAGAGTCACACAGGATGTGCCTAATTCCTCCAGCAGTGAGTTATGACAACATGTGAAATATTGTCATCTAGGAAAGTTCATTAGAGACCTAGTAGCCAAAGATATTTTTGGAGGCTGGTCATGTGGGTACCCTGCGCCTAGCATGTACCAGAATTCCAGACTCCTAGAAAGAGAGCAGGTATTCAGTGTAAACCATATTGTTTGTACAAACAGTCTAGACACACGGTAAGTGGCCCTTATCATTTAGGGAAAGTTTTGTGTGAGTGTGGAGGGAATCGTTTATGCAACCAGTTCCCAGACAGCGGCCCCGCGCCAGCCCTGCAAGCAGGCCTTTTCGAAGGCTAGCAGTCTCGGGCCTGCTGTGTTAACTCTTTTCCGTGTATCACGTTGTCTTTCTACTGCAGGAGGAAACAAGGCAAAATGTAAAACAAAAACCACATTCGTCAGTAAGAACAATTACGTATATAAATAATTAAATTAAAAATTGAAGGGGCACTTGGGTGGCTCAGTCACGTAAGCAGCCGACTCTTGGTTGGTGCTCAGGTCATGATCTCAGGGTTGGGAGATCAATCCCCTCGTTGGGCTCTGCGCTGAGCATGGAGTCTCCCTTTCCCTCTGCCCCTCCCTGGCGAGCACTTGCAGCTCGCTCGGTCTCTCTCGCAATAAAATAAAAAATTGAAGGTAAATGAGTGCTTCACCTTACTTTCTTAAGGGATATCGGTATGTCCACAGGTATGACGGGGACTGATGGAGACTGAGGAAACATGGAGGCATAGGAAAAGAGAACACACATTTACCATTAAAAGTGAATCACTCAGCCTATAATTCTTTTCTTCATGTAGGAATCCATTTTTACTCCCAAAGTCCAGAGAGAGGTGCTGAGTAGGTTGATCTATTCTGTTGAGTCACTTTTGTGCTCACTGCATTTCCTCCCTGCCTGCAGGGATCGTGGAAGAGTACCAGTTGCCATATTACAATATGGTGCCCAACGATCCATCATACGAAGATATGCGTGAGGTCGTGTGTGTCAAACGTTTGCGGCCAATTGTGTCCAATAGATGGAACAGCGATGAAGTAAGTGGAGCTCCGTGCCCTGAGGAGGTGATTGGTAACTGTCATCAGAGACCTGTATGTGCTCACTCCATTCTCTTTGCTTCTCAGTGTCTCCGAGCAGTTCTGAAGCTCATGTCGGAATGCTGGGCGCACAACCCAGCCTCCAGACTCACGGCTCTGAGGATCAAGAAGACCCTCGCCAAGATGGTTGAGTCCCAGGATGTCAAGATTTGACGGTGAAACAGTCATGAGGACGAACTCTGGACTGCAGGAACTGTTTTCACCCAAGGGACGGGTGGCATTAGGCTAGAGTAAGGATGCTGACTTGGTTCTCAGACCCTCTCCTCACTACACCTTCACAGGCTGCTAATATTAAACCTTTCAGTACTCTGTAGAATACAAGCTGGGAACTTCGAAACACTTCGTTCTTTATATATGGACAGCTTTATTTTAAATGTGGTTTTTGATGCCTTTTTTTTTTTTATTGGGTTTTTATGAACTGCATCGAGACTTCAATCCTGATTTAATAAGTCTCCAGTCAGACTCTGGGTACTGAATTCTCTGTTCATAAAATGGTGCTTTCTGTGAAAGCCTTACTAAGAAGATAAAGGAATTCAGCAGAGATGGAGAAATATACACTTTTGCCTTCTACCTGAGGAAAATTAATCTATTTGTATTCCACTTTGTAAACAGCCTATGGGTTATGATCTGTTTGGGACACTACTTAGTTTAGGATAGTGTGTCATGCTTTGATATTGGTGTGTGTGCATACACACCGCACACACCAGGATTCCTCTGCTGCCATTTGGATTAGAAGAAAATAATTTATGAATGCACAGGAAGATGTTGGTGGCTGTTGGTTTTGTGCTTTAAAAAAAAATGCATTTTCTGACCAAGATTCTCCAATCACACAAAAGCCATTTATTTACCTTGCAAGTGAGCTAGCTTCTCTGCCAACTTTATTTTTTAACATAAAAGTTGATATAAAGGCCAAAAGTTTAAAGTGTCTATAGATTCGGACTATTTTCCTTTCATCACCATCTTTTCCTCCCTCCCCTCCCCTCCCTCCTTCCCTCCTTCCTTTCTTCTCTTTCTTTCTTTTTGGTAATCCTCACTTTTGTCATGAAAAGCATCTTATCCAAAGTTGGAACTTCCAATGCCATGAAACTTCTAAAGAAAACACTTCTTATTGAAGTGAATTACTAATTACTGCATTTGATAGCAATGTAAGTGCCTATAACCTTGTTCTATATTCTTTATTCTCAGTAACTTTTAAAAGGGAAGTTATTTATATTTTGTGTGTAATATGCTTTATTTGCAAAACACCTCCTTTACGACCATATTTTATATATGTACATACATTCAGACTGTAGAAACCAGCTCTCGTGTACCTCAGATCCCATCCTTAAGGGAAGAAAATTAAAAGATCATCAGGAAAAAAAAATGTTATAAAGTAGAACTACATATAAATTTTCAGAATTCATGCGTTCAAAATCTAGGACTTTGTTATTCTGGCATAGACTTTTATCAAGATGCTGTCGTCTCAATTTTTCTTTATGAAAGGATCCTCCAATTAGAATTTTCTATTTCAGAGCTGATATAAACTTAACGACTATTTTGGGCATTTGAATCATTTGAGATTTTTGGTTTTATGATTTCTGTTCCATAACTTGTGAAGACAATGAAGAGTCAGGCAAAAAGTTCAGTATCTACTCATTACCTGTATCTATACCATATAGCTGTTATTCAATAAAATGCTACGTATTTTATGGATGCCTTATCTCAAGGAATAATTCTGCTTTACTTAAACTTACACTTCTGCAATGCCTTTTTGATACTGTCTTATCCTGAGCAAACAACTCATGGGGGCATAAAGTGAAATCATTTTCTTTGAATGTAACAAAATAAACATGATTATATCACAATCCAGTTAAAAATCTTTAAAGGGGAGGAATCAGAGCATGAATCCGTCCATTACCAAAAATCTGACTGGCATTTAAGGATGAAACTCTTACGTATTTATCTACACGTACGTCAGACTTCACAAATTTGGAATCTGCTTTAACCGTTTTAACCAAGTTTAGTAATTTTCATCTAACATAATTTAACTTTGAAGTGTTGATGAAGATGAGTAAATGTACGTGTAGATAGTACCCAATAACGTGCTCTTCCAGAATGTTCTCCCCTATACTGAGAGAGATTCTGACCCATGTTGCCTTGTGATTTAAGAACACTTGTGAGCTCTGACCTTAATCTAAGGTTAATCGTGCTTTATTTTTTATGGGCTAACCTATAAATCTTGAACATTATTTGTCATCTTAATAACAAAGAACGTATGTAAAGAAAGGCAAGCTCTCTTACAAATGTTGAAATAGCGTGTGGAAGCAGACCGTTACTGATAGTATATACGTACAAGCTCACTATGTTGATTTTTTAAAATAAATTGATCTGTTAAAAGTGGTATCAAGAATTAACCTCAGCAACTTGTTCAACAAAAATATTTTCTAAGGTAGCATGTTCTTTAAAAAGCAAATGATGCCATGTTTGAAATCCTAAAGTCCAAAAAATATGCTCGAAACTTACTTTCTTCTCTCTTTACTCTCACTGTTAAATTTCTAAGTTCATCCAATAAGGGAAATACATAGAGACTAAGAGGAAGTATTACCTGGTACCATGTAGTTGATACTTTATAAAACCCTAGAAGGCATTATTGGGCCCCACTCACAATTTAGTATTTTAAAAATGTGTGGCTTCTGTCTGTCATCCTTTTAAATGAGTAAAACATAAGAACAAGCAAAAACCCAAAGCAAGTTTCTGAAGTACAGAATTTGAATCCAATTTCTCTGGAAATGTTTTCACGAAAGGTCTTTCGGTCAACCTTTTATGTTGCATTTCCGATGGTCTAGAAGTGTCCCTAAAGTTAGAAAGCAGCCTATGGTTTCTGAAAATTACGTTTTCCTAGAATGGGCCGGATCTTTTATTTGTTCACTCTAAACTACTCAGTACCGTGTTCTTTCGTATGCTTTGCTTCTGTTTAGAAGAAAAATGTAATATAACGTTGAAAGAATCCTGTATCTCTTAAACTCGCCCAAGATCAAATTTGATATTGAATAATTTATTCCAGGCAAGATTTTATAAACTAAATCTCTTGAGTTTCTTTTCATACACACTGTTTGGAAATGTTACAGATACTTAAAATAATCCCAACAGAAATACTAATTGATTTTTTTTTTCTTAAAGACTGTTGCAGCTCTTATTCTGCTTAAAGGAGTGGTATTTACTATTTGCTTGGGTCAGCTGTTAACATAGGGGAGCGGTTCAGCTCCCTCAGTGCTCTTAGGAGAGTCACAGTGGAAACTGCAGAAAGCTGACATGTTCGTAAAAGCTGAGTTAAGTCTCGGGCAGCAGCCTGCGAAGCCACATGCAATGATCAATCCCATAAGGAAAGTATGTGAATGCTGCTTTTGCAAAGGATTAAATGTATTATTGTAATTTTAGCTCGTGTTCTGTACTATGCTTTCCGTGGAATCATTTAAGCCCTTTTAGTGACCGTTGTCCTTGCCCATTAAGAAACTAAAATGTAGTATATATTGTATAAAATGAAAATACCATTATAGCTTCATTAGGGAAGTTGTACATAGACATTGAAAGAAGGGTTAAAAACGATTTTATTATGCAATTGTAAAACACCAAAAATACAGATTCATCTTTGATATGTAACACACTAAATGTATTTTGTACAGCATCTGGTTTAAAAGGTGCCTTATTAAGTTTACCATTAATTGCTTTGTTCTATATATAGATTACATCCAGTGTATCATTTTTAAGTAAATAACCTTATTTTAGTATACTTTAGTGATGTGTTTTGTGGTAACTCGGACTGTATTGTGTATCAGAGGTCACGTGTCTGGTGAGCCTTTCTGATGGAAGTCAGGATGTTCATACACGCGTCCCTGAGGTGTCCGCCTCGGCTACCAGGAATCTGGTGTCGAGCGCATGGCAGGTAGGTGGCCGCACTCTCTCCCGGGTGTACATTGAGCAGTTATAAACCTGCTACACGGAAGGGTCGCTTCGCTTTAAAAAAAAAAAAAAATTCTAACTCAAAGTGTATACTCATCGCAGAAATTTTGGGAAACGAAAAGAATAAAGAAGCAAATAAAATCGCCCACAACCCTATTGCCACATGTGACCCTATTTACACTTGAATGTTGCTTTTCAGTCTTTTTTTTTTTCTGCTGCATATTTTTTTTTACAAAATTGAGATCATAGTATGTCATTAATACGCGTTGAAAATGTAACCTTAAAAAAATTGACTACATAAGATTCTAACAAGTAGATGGAATAATTTATTTTTGTAATTCCCTGTTGAATATTTGGGTTATTTCCATTGTTTTCAAAAATATAACAAATGTATTGAACATCCTTGTACATAAATCTTTTAAATCATACATTAATTCTTAGATTCCTGGAAGTGGGACTAGTGGTAACGAACTTTGAAAGGATTGCGTAAGATGGGAGAAATGCCCGTGCGTCTAAGAGTCTTGGTCAGTGTTGCTGTAGCACTGGCGGGCGGCTTCCCGGGACCCAGGGACCCTGAACAGCGCTGCTCCTGGCCCCCCACCCCCACCCCGGGCGGTGGTGGCTCAGGAGGGATCTGGGACTAGGTGGCATCGCCCCAGAAGTGTGTGTCGGGGTCGCTTACTGCAGGGCCCTCCTGGGAGCCCTGCTTGCTGTCCCTGTGCGATGCTTTCTTGGAACAACCACGTGGCCTGCGGCCCGGACACCCGGGCTTCCCGAGCCGCCCGATGCTGCACGTGGCCGGCACCCTGGTCTGCTATGCTCGATTCCCTGCCCCCTAGTCTCACTCTCACAGAGGGAGGACTTGCAACAGTGACAGCTTCCAGGGTTTCTGTACCATTAGCAGCAGCCCTAGTGGAGAAGACGGTAGGAAATGAGGACCCTGTTCTTCCAGAATAATACAACCCTGGCAGGTAACATCAAGCAGATGCTAATTCAAAAAAAAATTTTTTTTTAAGTAATTCTCTTTTTTTTTAAGATTGTATTTATTTATTCATGAGAGACAGAGGCAGAGACCCAGACAGAGGGAGAAGTAGGCTCCCTGCGGGGACCCGATGGGGACTCGATCCCGGGACCCTGGGGTCACGCCCTGAGCTGGAGGCAGACGCTGCCTCGTGAGCCCCCGGGCGCCCCAAGGAGACACTAGGTCTTCATTCACTCGGGGGACTGGTTCGCTCCGTGGGGCTCATGCTTGCGCCCTTCTGGCAGCGAACCCAGAGGCGAGGCCTTAAGGAGCCTGGCTTGGGCCCGGGAGCAGGCCCGCTGGGTGGGGAGGGCAGTGGCACCGCCCTGGTCCTGCAGGGTCCGTGCGTGAGCTCCAGGCAAGAGCAGGACGGGCCAGTCGCCGCTGGACCTCGGAGGCTTGGTACAGGCTCAGAGAGCACAGGGGGGCAGGGAGGTGGGGCCACAGTCGCCCTCTGAAGCAGGAGTTGTCCTCTCCGTGGCAGGTGTGTGCACGCCCACCTGCTCCCCTGCACCCCTCCTGGGCCGGTCCTCGTCCAGTTGCTTCCACTTTGTCCCGTGAGCTCAGTGGCTCAGTGTCGTTCAGGGCGATTCCAGATCCCCGGGGCTGCGTCCTCCTCCTAACTTCTCAGCTGAAGTTTTATACAGGAACCCTGAAGTGCTGCCTTGTCGAAAGTCCAACATCAGTATAAATGCTCCCGCCGAAAACCCTTTCAGCGGGTGCCCGGGGCACTCAGGGGCTGAGCGTCGGCCTTCGGCTCAGGGCCTGATCCCAAGGTCCCGGGATCGAGTTCCGTGTCGGGCTCCCTGCATGGAGCCTGCTTCTCCCTCTACCTGTGTTTCTGCCTCTCTCTGTCTCTCATGAATAAATAAAAATCTTTAAAAAAAATAAAAATAATAAATAATAAATGAATAAAATAAAAAGCCAAGATGTATAAAAACTGGATTCTGTCCTCATCCTTGGCTAGCACTGGTGGGAGATGGGACCTAATCGACGACATTTCCAGCATCCCCGTTGTCGGTAAGTCTGACGTGTCTATTTCAGGCGTTTGTAATTTAGTTTTCCATTCAAGAAACAGAATTTTCAGGCACCTGGATGGCACAGTCAGTTGAGCATCCGCCTTAGTTTCAGCTCAGGTTGTGCGATCGAGCCCCCTGTGGGCTCCATGCTAAGCATAGACTTTGCGTGAGACCCTCTCCCTCTCTCTCCACCCCTCCCTGTGTCTCTAAAATAAATACTTTATTTTTTTTAATAAATACTTTCTTAAACAGAATTTTCTTTTTCTTTTTTTTTTTTTTTCTTTTTTGATGTTTTGAAGTTTGAACTTGTGTAGGTATCTTGGCTGTGTGAGTACTGATGTGGTGCTTTCAACCTTTCCTCACACTGCGGAGCTTCCACCTTTTATTTCCCTCCTTTTATTCTGCTCTTTCTGGGACTCCTGTTGACAGATGTCAGGTCCCCTGGATGTTTCTTCCACTTTTCTTAACATGTCTGTCACATGACCCATCTTACCTTCCACTTTGCAGCCCATCTAAATTTTTTAAAGATTTTATTTATTTGAGAGAGACAGAGTGACAGAGAAAACCAGTGGGGAGGAGAAGGTCCCCGATGAGCAGGGGCCTGATAGGCTCCATCCAAGGGCCCCGGGGTCATGACCTGAACCGAAGGCAGATGCCTAACCCACTGAGCCACCCAGGTGTCCCTACATTTTTTTTTTACTTCAACCAAATAACCAATTTTTTTTATTTGGAAATAATTCCAAAATTCCCGAAAAGTTGGGAATATGAGAAATGGCATTTACACGTCACCCAGACTCGTCAACCCCCACATTTTGCCACAACGGCCTTGCTAGTGTGCGGGTACAGGATGGTACCGGCCCATGCTGGGATGTTCATGCACACACGCACAGTCGCCCGTGACCCTTGCTGAGCTGCTTGGGTCAGATCAAGAGCTTGTGCCTCTCTCTATTCTATTACAAAACCACTTACGTGCAACTCCCGAAATCGGGCAAGTGGACACCGACATCCTCGTAATTCTCAGCAGAACCACAACCTGCAGACCTTTGCCACTTCTGCTATGGTCCTTGAGTACATTTCCCGGGTCCGGAGTCTGTCTAGGGTCCTGTGTTACTAAGTGTCACGTCTCTTTATTTTTTTAAAAGATTTTATTTATCTGTGAGAGACCCAGAGAGAGGCAGAGACGCAGGTGGAGGGAGAAGCAGGCTCCCTGCGGGGACCCGATGGGGGACTCGATCCCGGGACCCCGGGGCCATGGCCTGGGCTGGAGACAGACGCTAACCCCTGAGCCGCCCGGGGGCCCCTCGTCTCTTTAATCTGGAAGCAGGTCTGGAGAGCTGGGGTCTGTCCTCTGTGATACATGTTCCAGAGCCAGAGGCCAGCGTCTCTGCGCACGTACGTCTGTCCCTGCCAGGGCGTCCCAGCGGGAGACCGTGCCATGGGTCCCGTTCCTGAGGGGACTGTCGACCCCCGTTGGGGTGAGACCTGGCTGCTTCACCATCGGGTGCTGGTTTTCCCTTCGTGGTGACGTGTGAGGAGACACTTGAGCCTTGCTGTGCCGATGGGCATGCAGCGTGGCTGTGGCGACGGTGGGGACCCTGCTGGTGTTGGCACAGCCGCGCTGCTGACCGTGGAGCCCTGAGTCCTGGTCGGAGGAGCCCGCAGGCTCCCCTCCAACTCCGCAAGTTCTAGTCTCAGGCCATCGTGGGGTTTGATGCTCAGATGGATCCGGACTTGAGCCCTGGTGGTTGGGCCACCGGCCCTGGAGCCCTCGGGCCACGCGCCAGGCTTTCTTGGGTCGTCGTACCTGTTGGCGCTTGCGACACGCTCCCCGGTCACCGGTACTTTGCGTGTCCCGGCCGCATCGCCAAGGACCCAACACCCTCGTGGAGGACACCGATCGGAGGCTGGCACCTGGGCGGCAAACAAGATTTCCAGCTCCCCGGGGCCTTGGGGGCCTCGCTGGTCAAGCATCTGCCTGTGGCTCAGCTCATGATCTCGGGGTCCCGGGGTCGGGTCCCGCGTGGGCTCCGGGCTCAGCAGAGGCTCTGCCTCTGCCTCTGCCTCTGCCTCTGCTCATGCATGCTCTGTCTCTGTGTCTCTCTCTGTCCCTCTGTCTCTGTCTCTCTGTCTGTCTCTGTCCCTCTGTCTCTGTCTCTGTCTCTGTCCCTGTCTCTGTCTCTGTCCCTCTGTCTCTCTGTCTGTGTCGCTCTCTCTCTAATAAATAAAAAAATCTTAAAAAAAAGATTTCCACTTTCCCGTGTCGTTTCTATCTAGACACCTGTATATTCCAAAACCTTCAGTGTTTTGAGTGTTGGGTCCTGTCAAGCGTGACCGTGGTTTCCACAGGCCGCGGCATGGGTGCTCCCCTTGGCGCCCATGGGGCCCTGCTCCTCGCCTGCCTGTTTTTATCAAGAAGCAACGAGGCAACAGCCGAACGTTAGGACGCGCTCCTGCCGGGTCCCCGGGGGCCCAGCGATTCAGCGCTGCCTTCAGCCCAGGCCGTGACCCCGGGTCCTGGGATCGAGTCCCGCGTCGGGCTCCCCACGTGGAGCCTGCTCCTCCCTCTGCCTGGGTCTCTGCCTCTCTCTGTCTCATGAATAAATAAGATCTTTATAAAAAAAAAAAAAGTGCTCCTTCCTTCTTGCCTGGGGGTCTGGCCTTTCCCACTCGCCTCCTTTCTACCCATCGCCGCCCATGGTCGGACCGGGGGGGACCGGGGGGGACTGGGGGGACCGGGGGGCGGGGGCACTCAGGCGACAGGTGGCCTGCAGTTTTCGACGTTTTCGAGATGAACGTCCCAGGGACACTGGCAGTTTCCAAAATGTTTCAAAAACATTCTTCAAGGACCAGAAATCCAGGGATAGTTGTGTCTGAAGTGTGGGAGGTCAGGTGTCCGTGCGCCCCTAGTCGGGCCGTCGCCAGTCGGGGGACCCACCGCTGCTCCCCGTACCGCTGCGCCAAGCTCCCCGCCCAGCCAGGCGCTGGCCCCCGCTGCTCTGCGCCCTCCGTGCCCCCAAAATCGCCCCTGGCTCCGCGTCCCCCAGGGTCTGGGCTTCGGTCCCTCCGCCGCTTCCCGATCTCCGATCTTCCTACCTCCCGTTTTTCAGAAACCGCAGAACTCCTCAGATCCGCTTCCTGCACCTTGTTGGTCAATATGACCTTTGAAGACGCTTCCCCACCAGATCTGAGCTGCGGGGCTTCGTGCTCAGCCCGGGGCCTGCGCTGCAGCCTCAGGGAAGGGCGCTAATCCTGGGGGGCTAGGGAGACCCGGGAAGGAGTCTGCACCCTGGGGGGTCTGGGGATCCCCGGGAAGGAGTCTGCACCCTGGGGGGGTCTGGGGAGCCCCGGGAAGGAATCTGCACCCAGAGCTATTGAATGCCGTAGTGGAGATATGAACCTGTCAACTGAACCTTAGAATTCATGTCAGTCTGGTGTCCTCATTACAGAAGTGGTTTTTTTTTTTTTTTTTAAGATTTTATTTATTTACTCATGAGACACAGGGAGAGAGGCAGAGACCCAGGCCGAGGGAGAAGCAGGCTCCACACGGGGAGCCAGACACGGGACTCGATCCCGGGCCCCGGGGTCACGGCCGGGCCTGAAGGCAGGCGCTGCGCCGCTGGCCCCCCGGGCGGCCCTACAGATGTGTTTAACAGGAAATGTGCACTTCGCCTGGTGGTTAAGGTCTCGTTTACTAGAAAGCTTCCTATGTCACAGCCATTGCCTCTCGAGTTCTCGTCCCAGAAGCTTCCGGAGTAACCCACGGGCCCGATTCAGCAGTCGCGCCTGCACCTGTAACCCGGATGCAGGGGGCCGGCCCCGTGAGCCCTCGGCGGTCAAGTGGCCCTGCTGGGGGGCAGAACACCCCCGATGAAATCTTAGATGCTGAGAGCGCACCACGCTGGGGCCTCCCCGGTGGTCAGCCAGCCTGGCCCGGGGTGATGGGCGTGAGGCACAGAGGCGGCGCAGAGGGTCCCTCGGGGGGCGGGCACCCTGCGAGCAGCGGTCCAGTCGTGGGCCGGGAATGGCCCCGGCAGGTCACGCCTCAGGTTGGGACTGGCCTTGACCACTGAGGGCCGCACTCGGCCAGAGGCTGTGGCCGGGGGGAGTGGCAGGAAGCAGCGTGACCTGGGACGCGCGTCATAAAGCTCTGAAATCCACAATGAAGCCAGCCGACGGGTACCAGGCACCTCGCTCCAACGGGGAAGCTCCCGAGGTCGGGGCTGGCAGCCAGGCCCTCCGTCCCCTTAGCACCCGTGTTCCGGCCAGTGCAGCGCACGAAGCGTGGCCGGGCCATTCCGGGGACACGTGCTTGAACCCATGGGCCTTAGAAAACCGGGAGGAGAGCTGAGCAGCGGCTGCCAGCCCGAGAAGGGTCTACTGGGCCGTGCCCCACGCCCACTGCCGGAGCACGGACGCCCCTGGGGCAGGGCCAGCTTCTACAGCCTGTTCGCTGCTCGCAGGGCCCGATGCTACGGGGCCGGTGCAGCTCCCAGTGCTCCCGCCACTGCCCCCGGGAGGCCTCTGCGGGGAGCTCCCTGGACCAAGAGCAGCCGGAATTAGGGGAGTCGCATTTGGCCCAAATAGCTGCATTGTGTCCCGCGTGTGCACCCCCTTTCCCGGGTCCCTTTGCTCTCCGCGAGGTCAGCAGGCAGGCATTCGGAGGGCAGTGCTTTATTCCAGGCGGGTCGTGACGGGGAGATCTGGACACGCGACCTTCACTTCCCCCCTCGGCCTCCCTCCCGGTGACAGGCGCTCGCGAGGCTCGGGACGGCCACCAGGGCACGGCTGTGCTCGCTCCGGGTCATGCTGGGCAGGTGGCGGCCTCCACCCCCTGGACCAGGGAGGACAAGACGGGAAGCGAAGGTCACAGAGAAACTAGGGAAGGACCAGAACTAAGGGGAACGGGGGGATTCTCTTCCCTGGTAACTCGAGCAGGCCTCAGGCCCGTTCCCAGCAGAGGCACCGCCGGCCACTGCCCCGCTGCCCCGCTGCCCCGAGGTGGGGGGACGGGCTCCCGGCGTCGTCCCCAGTGTCACCTCCAGTATAACGTACTCCTCCTGGGGAAGATGAGGGGGAGGCGATGGCAGGGGGTTTAGAAGTCGCAGCCACGGGAGAGCAGCCAAGGGCGGGCAGGACCCCCCGAGTGGGCGTCGCGTGGGTCCATGCTCCCCGCACCCGGGGCCACCAGGCAGGCGCTCGGGCTCCTCTCCGCACCATCACCTCCAGGCCCCGCAGCTCAGCAGGCCCCATGCGGTGCCCCGGGCGGGCAGCCTTCAGGTCCTGAGCACCAGGAGCCCCCCGAAGGCCGAGGCCGCGGGGCTCCTGCTCCTCAGCGACCCCCGGGTCAGCTCAAACCACACCCTCTCGCCGCGCTGCAGCTCGGCCAGCGCGAAGGCCGTCACCGTGCCAGCCGCCCTGCCGTCCTCCGGGGAGCCCACGGGGGTCTGGCGGCGGCCCCCGAACACCAGCTGCCCGCTGCCCGGCCCGGGGCCGAACTCCACGCTCACGGCGAACAGGTAGACGCCGCGCTCGGGGGCCAGGAAGTAGCCGTGATCCGGGAAGTAGCTGCCGCCCACGTTGACATGCGTGGTGTTGAACTTGACGGTCTGCGGGGCCGCGGTGCCTCCTGAGCAGCTGGCGTAGAAGGCCGCGGGGGAGCCTGGAACGCAGGGCGCCGCTCAGTGCCCGCCTCCCCGCCCACACATCACACCCCGACGCCTGCCCGTCCCCTGCCAGCAGGGGCACCGGGCACCCTGGCTGACGGCCCGTGCCCCAGTGGCACCCTCGGGCCGCAGAGTCCCTGCCAGGCCAGCAAGACGGGAACACCAGCGCCTGGTCTCTGCCCCCTGAGCACCCAATTCCCCTCCCAGCTCCCCGAGAGCCAGGCCTCCCTCCTCTGGGGAAACTGGGGCCGCGGGCGCTCGACGGCTGCCTGAGGCTGCACGGCTTTGCCAGGGCGAGACGGCCGGCCCCCCACGCTGGGGCACCCACCCGGAGCCTGGGCTGAGGGACCCAGATGGGCCCAGAGGGCGAGCCCGCGCCCCTATGCACGCGGGCCAGCACCGGGACCTCGTGGGGCGAGTGTTCGGTGAGCCACGGCCTCCCTCCCGGCTGCCTGGGCCGACAAGGGGCAGGATGGGGCCACGGGAGGGGAAGTGCCGTACCCCGGGCTCTGGCCAAGACCCTGGCCTTGGCACTGACGAGCCACGTCCCCTGGGCACTCCCCCCCCGCTGTCTGTCCATCTCTTCGCTGAGACCAAACTCCACGTGCCCAAGGGGATGAAGCCAAGCTCTGCCGCGGGAGGGCCCCGCCGGGTGCGTAGAGACCTGGCCCCCCGCAGCCCCAGCACCTGGCTCCCAGCCCAGCAGTAGGCCCGGGGTCGGGACCGCGCGCCTCATCCTAGAAGGCTCCGGAGCGGGTAGGGGGGGCAGCCCTGCAGCACCCCAACAGGAGCTGGGCGCTCGCCTGGCCGCAGGGGGCCCCGCGCCCTCCGCAGCCGCCCAGAGGCAGCAGGAAACTGAGGCCAGCAAGTGCACTGGTCGCGAGGAGCTGTGCGCTGTCCACAGGGCGGGCGACCTTGGGACGGGCCCCGCAGCCAGGCTACCCGCAGTGTAGACAGCCCGACAGCGGCCCTGTCCCCAGTCCTGTGTCTGGAGGAGGAGTGGCCACAGCCCCGGGGCCAGCCTCCCCGGGCAGGGGATGGTCACCTGTGTCTAGGGTCCCCTTCCCAAGGCCACACGCAGAGATGGAGGGGCCAGGAAGGGAGGCTGTACGCACGTCAGCCTCCGAGCTGGCAACCCAGGCCCCGGGGCCCCGCAGGGACCAGTCATCAAGGGCCTGTCGCACAGGAAGGGCCAGCACCCTAGAGACCGCCGGGCAGGGTGCAGGGCTCCCTGTGCCACCTATGGCCGTGTGACCAGGCCCTGGGCCCTGACCGTTGGCGACTCCATATGGCCATGCACGGGGACCCGGCGGGGCAGCGGGATGCGCCAACCACAGGGCCACGAGGCCTCCCGGCCCCTCCTGGGGGGCTGCCACGGCAGGTGACCCCAGCCCCTGTGCGTGTGTCTGTAGGGGAGCAGGTTAGAGACTGCGGGGCATGGCGGGAAGGCAGGAGGAGCTGAGGCCGGGCCTGGGGCTACCCCAGCTCCAATGACGGTTGGCCAGCGGTGCAGACACGAGCCTCAAACATTTAGTGGGGGCCGCCGCGGGCTCCCCAGCTTCCACGCCGCGACCTCTGCCTCCTGCCCGTGAGGCAGCATGAGAGGCCCCGGCCTGAGCAAACGGGTCAGGGCCAAGCTGGCCCTCAGAGCTCCTGGGGCGCAGCCTCCCCGACCTCTCCCACGCAGGCAGCCCTGTGCCCCGACGCCCCGGCCTCCCCAACACCCTGGCCTCCTGGCCTCCTTGGTCCCCCTGGCCTCCCTGGCCTTGGGCACTCACTTGCCTCCCTGGCCTCCCTGATGCCCCAGCCTCCCCAGCATCTCCAAGGCCCCAGCCTTGGGCACTTACCTGCCTCCCCAGCCTCCCAGCCTCCCTGGTCCCCTGGTCCCCCGGGTCTCCCCGTCCCCCTGGTCCCCCAGCCTCCCCGACCACTGACCTCAGGCACTCACCTGCCTCCTTGGCCTCCTGGCCTCCCTGGTTCCCCGGGTCCCCCCGGCCTCCCCGATGCCCCAACTTTGTGCACTCACATGCCTTCCCGGTCCCCCCAGTCCCCCGGGTCCCCCTGGCCTCCCCAGTGCCTGGACCTCGGGCACTCACCTGCCTCCCCAGCCTCCCGGCCTCCCCCGTCCCCCCCAGTCCCCCCAGTCCCCCGGGTCCCCCCGGCCTCCCTGACACCCCGACCTCGTGCACTCACCTGCCTGCCCCAGCACCAGCCCTCTGGCAGGCTCGTCCACCCCAGGCTCCGCTTGCTTCCTGTCCCTCCTGCGGGTGCCGTCCAGCCCTTTCTGCCTCTTCCCCTTCCGGCTCAGCATGGCCTGCAGCTGCCCCAGGTCCAGGCTGACGTTGGCCGCCAGGAGACCTTGGAAGTTGCCAAAGAGGCCGTGGAAGAGGCGCTGGTGCCGCTGCAGGTCGCGCCCGGTGGCAGCCAGCTCCTGGCCCAGGCCGTCAACGGTGGCGCGGAGGGTGGTGTTCCCAGCGGGCCCGCAGCAGCCAGCCACGCGGCCCAGGTCGGCGTCCAGGCGCTGCAGCTCTCGCGCCAGCCCCGCCGCCCCAACGGCCTCGAGTGCATCCACCCGCGCGGCCAGCGCGCCCCAGGCCAGCGCCTGCTCCTGCAGCCCAGCGGCGGCGTCGCGCAGGGCAGCCACGATGTGCTCGTAGCGCAGGGGCAGCGCAGCCGGGTCCTCGGCCAGCTGCTCGGCCATGTCGTCCCCCAGGAGCGCGGCCAGCGCGGCCTCGTGGCGCAGTGCGTCGTCCAGCAAGGCCGCGAAGTGGCTGCGCAGCCGGCCCAGCTCCTGCCGCGCCTCAGCCTGCGCCTCCTGCAGCGCCCGCGCCTGGCCGTCCAGGGCCCGCAGTGCGCTCCGCAGCCGCGCTCCGTCTGCCCGCGCGCGCTCGCCCTCCTCCTGCTGCGCGGCCACCGCACGGGCCAGCGCTGCCACCGAGCTGCTCAGGGCCCGCAGCTCCGAGCCGTCGGGCTGGGGCCGCTCGCCCAGGTCATCGGGGATGCCGTCCAGGCCCGTGGGGAGCTCCTGGCAGGTGCAGTCCTTGGCGTACCTGGCGAGGTCGGCGTGGCCGCCCTGCAGCTGCTGGACGGTGAGGTTGAGCTCCAGCAGCTGCCGCTCCACCTCCTCCCTGTTCTCCTCCAGGATCAGCGACTTCTCCATGAGGGCGATGCGCAGCTCTCGCAGCGCCGTGTGGTTCACCTGCAGCTCCCCGAGCCGCCGCTCCACCCTGCTGATCTGCTCGAAGGTCTCGTCGGACTCGGAGTACAGCTCCTTGATCTCGTCGGCATGCTGCGCCAGGGTGGCCCCCATGTCCGCCAGGGTGGCCTGCAGCTCCGTGTCCCTGCGGCCAGCCGCCGCGTGCAGCGCTGAAACGTTCCTCTGCAGCTGGCCCAGCCTGGCCTGCAGGCTCTCGGGCTCGGGCCTGGCCGCTGCCCCCATGGGCTCCTGGGCCCTGAGGGCCCTCTTGACCTTGGCGTCCACATCCGCCTGGACCTCAGAGAGCGACTGCTGCAGGGAGAGCTGCTGGGCGTGCATTCGCTCCTCCACGTCCTGCCGCAGCTGCGCCACCCTCTGCGCATTCTCCTGGACCTTGCTCTCAAATTTGGCACCGAGCTCCTGGAAGTCAGCCCTGGCCACCGCGCTCTCCCGGACTCCCCTGATGGCCTGTCGGTTGGCCTCCACGTCCAGGGACAGGTTTCTCAGGGCTTGGGAGAGGCTGTGCAGGCTCTGGTTGAGGCTCCTCCAGGTGGGGCTGAAATGCACCTGCAGGAAGGCATCCAGGTGCAGCGGCAGCACCTGCTCCAAGGATGTGCCGGGAACGTCTGCAACAGAGACCCGCTCTTACCCACGCTGCCCTCCCCCAGCAGGGACCAGGGCGCATCCTCTGAGATCCGGGCCCTCCGGTCTCCCTCTTCTCTTGCCCTCGGGCCTCACCAGGCTCCGTCTGATTCGCCTCCATCGCGGCAGCTGTGAGGTTGCTTTCCAGGGCCTTCCACAGGCCCGGGAGTCCGTCTGCCACCTGGTGAAGGTCATTCTGGAGGTCCTCCAGCAGGCGCCCCTGCCGTCCCAGGACATGGCTCAGCTCCGCAGCCCGCTGGCCTGGAGACACGGAGACAAGCGTCCAGGCCTGCCTCCCCGGGCCTGGCCGGACCACGGGGTACACAGAAGGAAAGTTCCAGGTTCAGACAGAAATCTCCGGGGGGGGGGGAGAGGGATGGTGATGTCCTCTGAGCAGGAGCTCAGCAGCTCAGCTCCAGAGGGGGTAATGCCCGCCCACGAGCCCTCACCCTCACCCTCACCCTCACCCAGCACCCGTAGCAGACATGACTAATCGATCTCGGCACACTTTGCTCCTCAGCTGTGTGGACGCGGCCTCTCAGCACCACTCGGGCAGCCCTTGCCAAGAGATAGGCGTTCACCGCATGACGAGACTCACTCACCATCCCAGACGTGGCCCAGCCTGGAGAGGCCTCACGAGTGGTGCCTCTGGGTGGTTCTGTGCGGACTCTACACCAAGGGTGGCATGACTTCCTGGCCCTGGGAGGGCGCGTGTGGGAAAGCTTCCTGCAGGCCATGGGATCTCGCACCGTTCAAGGGCCAAGGAAGGTGCCAGAGGAAACTGTCCTTCCCAGGACAGGGAGTCAGGGAAGGGGGTGCATGTGCTTAGGCAGTGGGTGGCAACCGAGGGCCCTGCGACTCTGGCCTGCTCGGTGTGGGGGCAAGCTGCCCCGGAGCCACAGAAGGGCCCCTGCTGCTCCGGACACGGAGACTTCCCGAGCCAGCCCTGCCCTAGCCCAGGAGAAAGGGCCTGGGAGCGCTTCTCGGCACCTGCCTACCCCTCCTGCACCTTCTAGGCAAGCAGCATACCAGGTTCCAAGGCGACAGGCCCGTCCCAAGGCTCCTGCAGGCCGTCACCTGGGTCCTCGGGCTCAGGGGTGGCCATGGGATCTGCAGACAGGAGGCGGCCAACGGTGAGCCCACAGGTCAGAGCACCCACCGGACTTGGGGGGGGAGCCCTGGGGAGCCCTACCGTGGTGCTGGCAGTCAGGGCCCACAAAGCCAGGGCAGCACTTCCAGGCCACGGAAGCCAGCACCTTCTGCTTGACCTGGTACACCGGCTTGTGGGCCACGCGATACCTGGGGAGAGACGGCCAGCTCGGTGACGCTGGGGCAGCCAGCAGGGACGCGAGAGGGTGGCCCGCCCTGCCCCATCCGGCCCCTGCTCACATGACTCGGACTCTCTGGCAGTCCAGAGCCCCCTGCGGGCATGGCTGCTGCGAGTGGACGAGGAATTTCTCTGTTTTGCAAGCGGCTACAAAGGTCACCAGCCTGGACTCCTGGTAAGGGCACCAGTTACTGGAAGACAAGCCAGGAGAGAGGCCTCCTGAGCACCCCAGCCACCGCCCCCCCCGCCGCGATCCGGCCTGGAGGTCAGCAGTGGTGCCAGCCCCACCCCTGCCTCCCCGCCCACCCACACCTGATGCCTGGGATTCCAGAACCCATTAGCCTGAGAAGAGAGCGCTCTTGCATTATTCATCCCTCCTTCCACTCAGGACAAAAGCTCCAGGAAACCCACCCTGCAGGAGCATCTGACCACGGCCCCTGAACCAGCGGTCAACCCGGAGAGGCTTGAGAGCACCCCCAAAATCACACAGCAGAATTACCCATGGGACCAGGATGGGCTCTCGGGGGTTTCTCTTGGGGCCAGGGAGGCAGCACAGTGCTGCTGGGGCTGGAGAGAGGCCTGAGTTCAAATCCTTGCCGCCCAGTCCATGTGAGCTGGAGTGAGGCACTTAGGGCTTTCCCCCTTGCCCACGTCTCGGATGGAGGCGCTGCTCCACTCCTCCAAGCGTGCGGGTGAGGACCCGGGGCCTGGCTCCCGACAACACTGCTGCCCCGTCACTGCCACCTCTTTCCTGACTGCAGACCGGGCTGCGGGGAGGGCACCTGCACCCTGGCCATTCCCCACCTCATGGAAACGGACTTGCAAACAGTCATGGGAGTGGACAGTTGAGAGTAGTCCCCACTCCAGGAAGTTCTGCAGGGCTGGAGGTCGCGTGCAGCCTCTCGGTCTCTGCCCTTCACCCCTTCACCAGGCTCCTTCGCCTGCCAATCAGCCCCCAGGGCTCTCCGGGGTTGCAAGAGGCAACGACTTGCATCACTCGGCTCGTGGCCGCTGAGCTGAGCAGCACCCAGTGCCAATACAGACACACAGACCTTCCCTGCAGGGTCCCAAGGGGAAGCAGGCAATCGCAGGTGGCATGGAAGCTTCTAGGACCCGGGGAGCCATCCGGGAGGTGGTAACCAGGCACCAGGAGCTGTGACAGGCATACGGCCCGCAGTGCAGGGGTTGGGCAGGCAAGGGGCCCAGAGATGCCGAGAGGCCAGGCCATGGGGTCCTTGAGTGCCCGCTGGGGACCCGGCCCGTGTCCTAGAGCACGGAAAGCTGTGGAGGGGTCTGAGCAGGGAAGTGCCGTGAAAAAGCCACCCTGGCTCCTGGGGACAGAACGGACAGGAAGGGGCGAGCTGTAGGCGGGTGTGTCAGGGATGTAGGTGGGAGATGTTGGCAGGTCCCATGGGTGACGGCGGCGGATGCAGAGAGAAGGGGCACACTTGTCAGATATCAGGAGGCAGTGTCGGGGGCCTTGCAGGTGGAGCAGCGCGGCTCTCGGGCTGGGGGTGTATTCTCCGGGGCCGGCCTCTGACCTGGGGCCGCCGGGCGCCACCGCACAGGGATTCTGCAGGGGTGGAGCGGGGAAGGAGTGAGGGGGACCGAGTGACGGCACCTGTTACGAGGCCTGGGCCCCCAGCCTGAGTTCCCACTCGGTTCTCAAAGCCTGGCAGCCAGCCTTCCCCCCTGGCAGCAGACTGAAAAAGCGTGTCAGGAAAATGACCCCACTCGAGAGGACGGACCGAAAACACGACAATATCAGGGGTTCTCCGTGCAATGGTCCAGCAGGGCATAGTGTGAGGAAGGAGGTCAGGAAGCCGCATCCGCACGCCCAGGTCCAACCAGCTTCATAGTCTGCTCTCAAGGGGGCAGACATCTGAGACAACTCCTGAGAAAGATCTCCGTACCAAAGGGGGGAGGTTGGAAAAAGCAACTGGGGGGAAGAATGAACTTGGAAAAAGCCAGCACTGCGCAGAGAAGTCCCCCAAATGTGTACTGATAGCCCCAGATCGATAAAGGAAGTGACTGCATCCAAGAAACAAGAATAGGAAGCTACTGGGGCGCCCGGGGGGCTCCCTGGTGGAGCGTCTGCCGTCGGCCCAGGGCATGACCTTGGGGTCCCGGGATCGAGTCCCACGTAGGGCTCCCTGCGTGGAACCTGCTTCTCCCTCCTCCTGTGTCTCTGCCTCTGTCTCTGGGTCTCTCATGAATAAATAAATAAAATGCTTTTAAAAATCTGAAAGGGGCACGCGCTGAGGAGGAGCCGCCGCCCACCCTGGAGGAGCCCCAGGCCCGCCCACCCGTGTCCAGATTTTTAAAAAATCCAACGTCTAATGGTTATGAAGACCACGTGGCCGAAGCCCACGGGGATATCAGGAGAACGAATTTAACTGTCAACTACCGCCCTCGAGGCATGACCCAGGGTGAGGCACGGAGTCCGTTCAGCAGCATTGGTGACATGACCCTGCAGAACCCACTCGGGGTAAAGCAGAGGGCACAGCCCGGCCACCGTGCCGTAAGCCACGTGACCACAGGGGCCGAGAGCAACCACACGCAAATGGCCTGCGGCTCCAGTCGAAAGCCATCAAGGTGTCGTCCACACCCTGAGCTCGGAAGTCATCAAAGATGCCAACCTGCGCAGCGGTGGGCTCCCGCGGACCGTGACCCGGACGGGGAGGGCGTGCTCTCTCGGTTCGGGGGAGCCACCAACTCCCAGGGCCTTGTGGATCAGACCACAGGTTTGTCCAGAGGGGTTGCGTTTATCCGGTTCGACACACGGTCGGAGGCGGAAGGGGCAATTACCATTCTCAATGGTCATAAACCCCCAGGTTCCTCTGAGCCCACTACAGTGAGGTTTGGGCCAACCCCAACCGGAACCAACCCATGGTGCTGCTCTCCCAGCGGTACCGCTCGCCTGCCAGGCGGTTTGGAGGCCCGGTTCGCCGCCAGGCGCAGAGATTCAGGTTCTCCCCTGTGGGTGTAGATCACGAGTGGGCTTTCTGGTGTCAGTGTCCCGGGCGACGCGTCTTCAGGCTGGTGCATCTTCATCTACAACCTCAGGCGGGACGCCGATGAGGGGATCCTCTGGCAGATGTTTGGCCCCTTTGGGGCGGTCACCAATGTGAAAGAGATTCGCGACTTCAGCACCAACAAGTGCAAAGGCTTTGGCTTTGTGACCATGACAAACCATGAAGAAGCCACCATGGCCATAGCAAGTCTGAACAGCTCCCGCCTGGGGGACAAAATCCTATAGCTTTCCTGCAAAACCAACAAGTCCCACAATAACTTGCTCATGTTTTTTTTTTCTTTTTTGTATGGAATAGATAATTAAGAATGAAGAAGTTGAAACTTTTTTGTTAGTGTACAACTCATTTTGCACCAATTCTCACAAGTGTTTGTCTTAGTTTAAACGAGAAGTGAAAAGGTTTTTATACTCGGGGATGCAACCAACATGTTCAAATGTTTGAAATCCCACCATGTTAAACCATATAAGTTTCTTAAGTTATTTCCTTTAAAATATATATTAAACAGAAACCTAAGTAGACCGCATTGACTAACCAGTCCCTCGGGACGGTGGTGAACCTGAAGCATGCTTTAACTTCTAAGACTAACACTCGTTTCATTTGGTGTCTCCACACACTGGATAAAAAACACAAAAAACAAACAACAACAACAAAAAAAAAAACAACAAAAAAGGCATGACCTTTTAGTTTTAGTTTTCAAACGAAAGATGTTACACAGATGCTGAGTGTGCGTTTTCTCAACCGCTTCAACATTTTAAGCGATTTCAGCTTTGGTTGACAGGAAATTGCTTTCCCAAGCAGGTGCCATTGCCACCTCCTGCTCACTCAGCTCCGGGGCTCTGCAGGGGTCCTGGCAGTGGCAGCAGGCCATCCAACGGAGGGGGGGCCGCCACCGGGGAGAGGGGCCGTAAGCTGGGCCCTCCAGAGAAGGGCATGCACGGGTTTCATAAGCCCAGGCGCCAATGGGAACGGACCAAAGAGTTTCAGGGAAACTCCAGTATATTCCAGACTCAGACCTAACTCCAGGGCATGCCTGAAGACATGCTGCTCCTCTGACATCCCGGATTTCTGTGCACACGTTGCATGCACAGTGCCCCGCACACCGGGCACTGGTGTTCCCAACCATTTCTCCACTTTCCAAGAGCAGTTCACATAGCTCGAATGCCTAAGATCACTCTATATTTTAAGAACACAGAAACAGGGCAGCCCAGGTGGCTCAGCGGTTTAGCGCAGCCTTCAGCCCAGGGCCTGATCCTGGGGACCCAGGATCGAGTCCCATGTCGGGATCCCTGCATGGAGCCTGCTTCTCCCTCTGCCTGTGTCTCTCTGTGTGTGTCTCTCATTAATAAATAAAGAAAATCTTAAAAAAAAAAAGAACACAGAAACATTTGAGCATTGTATTTCACATCCCTTCTCGTAAGCGCTAGACTTGTTTCCATTTTAGTCAGATTTTGTTTTGAAACTTTGCTTTCATATGAACACTCAGCAGAAAAGTACTCACTTCTTGCCAGTTATCTATTAACAAAAAAAAATTTTTTTTATTTGTAGTTTTAAAGATTAACCCTCCCAAGTTCTCTGCATAACTGCCTTGACATTTTGGGTTGTTCTGTTAATTTTCATTTGCTTTTTTGTGTTTTTTGTTTGTTTTTACTTTTGCATTTAAGACCATTAAATTTTATTTTGTTCTGCTCGGAAAAAAATAATAAAAATAATAAAAATAAAAATCTGAAAGGAAAATATCTCCAATTTAGAATCCTATACCCAGCCTAACTATCAAAGTCAAGGGAGCAGAATAAACACATTTTCAACCGATCGGGTCTCAAAACGCTGCCCACCCCAGGGCCCCTCATCATCAGGGAGCTACTAGAGCAGTGCTTTGGAATCTTGCCATCAGATCTTCGCGTCAAAGCCACCGTGTGGCACTTCATAAAGAAGAGCCTCTGGGCTGCAGTAGGTCAGTGGGGCAAGTGTCTGGGGCTGGGGCTGGGCCTCAGCGTTCTCAAGCGGCCTGGGCATTCCAAGTCAGAGCCCAGGAGGTGCTCCACTTTGCCAGAGGTGCCCCAGCTGCACAAGCCAGAGCACCCAGACAGAGGAAAGCAGGGTGTCAGGAGACAGGAGCTCCGGTAGGGAATCAAGGGGAAGGGAGTCCCCAGGAAGATGGCACAGGGAGCGCCCCGTGCAGCCGCGGGCAGGCGGCATGGGCCAGTGTCCAGACCGGAGCACAGCTAGGGCTCCGAGAGCCACGCCACCGAGAGACCCTGGCGGTCAAGCACCTGACACGGACGAAAGGGGAGAGCAGGTGTGGACAACGAATGGGCCAAGAGTTTGGGGCTGAATAGTGACAGAGACACTAAGCCAAAGAAACAAAAACCAATGGAGGTAGTTGTTTATTCCAGGGAAGACGGAAGGTAGGAAGCTGCAGGGGTGCGGGGAGGACTCGCGGGGTGTTTCTTCTCAAGTCTCCACTTGGAGCAGCGAACAGTCACGTAGATGTAGATACTCAAAATGACAGTACGGGAGGAGGAAGGGCAGGTGGTGCGTGTGTGCACGCACTTACGCACATGCACGTGTCCTTGCACACCTATGTGTGCACAATGGGGTTCGGGTATGGGGTGGGAATGAAAGCTGAATTGTGGGGGCTGCTACTTCCCAAGAAGCAGCCATCTAAACAAGTCAGTTAGAGATGCAGGTCAACGGCAAAGGATTCACCTGGGGAGTCAAAGGTCCTGCCTCTGGGGACCCGTGGGGACAGGGGCTTCTGACTGTGTCAACTTAGCCCCTAGCCACAGCCGACCCTGACCCTGATGTCAGCGCAGTTCTTCCATAAAGGGGCAGAGAGCAAACACCTCACACGAGGCTGACTGCATAACCTGTAGCGCCCAGCGCCAGGCAAGACTGTGGGACAACAGGTGTCAAACCCAGCGGGGGGCCCTTCCATGGGTGCCCTCTGCAGCCGCTCGGGTCACACGCCCACGGAACCCACCGGACTTCAGGCAAAGAATGTTTACTCAGCGCGTCAGGAGCTGGGCCCACAGCTTCAGGGCCACAGGCGGGGCGGCCCCCTGCACAGGCCAGTCCAGGACCCAAAACTCCCGCCCAGGTGCCGGGGACGTGTGGGGCCGGGGCCGGGGCCAGTGGTTCTGGGGGTGCGTGCGACCTTCACGTAGGGGGCACAGGCCAAGGATGGCAGCAGCCAGCCCCCCGCGGTCCAAACGCCAGGATGCCTGCCAAGAAACACCTGCGGGCAACCAGGCCGGGTTCTGGGCTCCCCCTCCCGGGGCGCAGGGTGCAGAAGGCCCTGCCGGGCCGTGGGTGCGTGCCAGCCTGCCCTGGGGGGGGCGCTGGGACTTTCCACCCCAGGCTCCTGGGACCGGAGGCGGTACCGCCCACCCTTCCTGCCCAGGAACTTTCTCTCCTGACCTTCCCAAACCTCGAGCTCCAACTATTGACCCGCCCGCGCTCCCCCTCCCTTGGCAGCCCGTCCCCTTGGCACCATGCAGGCCGCTGGCCCGCGGGCCCTGGGAACATTCCTGACCTTTGCTTTGGTTTCCTCGGGCTCCTGGCAGCGTCGCGCTGGCCCCAGAGCCTCAGCCCCATTGTTCTCAGTGCGCTCCTCCCCATGCCCCCACCCCCGTAGGCCCTCATCTCCTGGGGCCCCCTGCAGCCCCCCCAGGCTGCACCCCATCAGGAGAGCATCTGCCGGAGCCCAGGGTGGGGGGGGGTGGCCCTTCCTGTCCCCCTTCCTGGACCCAGGGTGGCCTTGAGCAAGGCCACCCCACCCCCCCAGGATATGGGAGATGATTCCCACTTCCGGCCTCCCTGGGGGCAGAGGGAGGGGACAGAGGCCACGGGGAGTGAGCTCCAGCTCCAGGGAAAGTGTCGTGGGTGGACGTGCAGGTGCCACCGCCGGGGGGCGGGGGCCGGACACTGAGCGCCCACACAGCACAGCCCTGGTCGCAGTACTTCACCGGCTCTGTCTGTGGGCTGGGAAGGGGCTGGGGCAGGGGCCTGCGGCCCTCCGTGGGCCGGGATCCCCTGGGGGTGCCCGGCCCTGCTTCCCGGTGGCCACAAGCAGGAGCTGCAGCCCTGGAGGTGGCTGTGGCCTGCGCTCCCGTGCCACCCCTGCCTCCGGCCTGACGCCTCCAGGACCGAGTTCTCAGCCGCAGAGCATTGCAGGTGCTGCCCGTGTGGGGCCAGATGGACTCCGGCCGTCAGGGCCCTGCCCTGTGCTACCCCCACCTGGGTGTCGGCCCCACTCCGACTGGTGGCCCAGGGTGGCGTCCCCATCCCTCTGAGCCTCACAGTCCATGGAGAGGGCAGCGCAGCCCCGAGCACCTGGAGGGGGGCACCCTGCCCTGGGCTCGCTGGGCCCCCACGCAGGCACTGACGGCCCCCATCCTAACTGCTGCCCGGTCCCACTCTCACCGGAACCACGGAGCATCACAAGAGCCCAGATGCACCCGGCGCCGGGGGCCCGGGCCATGGGAAGCACACAGCCACGTCCCGCCCCCACCCTGTGGCCCAGCACCCGGCACCCAGCATCCAGCACCCACTTGTTCCCTTTGAACCTGTCCTTGCAAATAGTGTGACCTGAGCCCATGTCCAGGGCCCCCAGTGCGTACGAGGAACAGGCGGGGGGAACGCGGAGGCCTGGTCCCTGACGACCGCCCCACGGCCCTGGGGACGGCCCTTCCGCCTCTCCCTTCACAGAGGAAGCAATCGCGGGAAGCTGAGCGTGTTTCCTTCCTTTCACACCGGCCCCTCGGCCCCTGGAGGCGCTGACAACCAGGAGGGCCTGCTGGGCGCACTTCCCCGGGAGCGGCCATCCTGGCCGGCATCCTCCTCGCACCCCATCCCGCAGGGCCCACGAGGGCTGGGGGGCCGGAGCCCCGTCAGAGGAGGCAGGGCTGGGGGGACTGGGCTTGGCAGCCTGAGAGCAGACCTGAGTCACCTGTGTCCCCGGCCCACCGGTCACCTGCCCCCGTCCCCAACCCATCCCACCCCCCACCCCCGCCCTGCACTGAGCCGGTGTGACCATGAGTGGGCCCAGACGGCCAATGGGGGGGGGTAGGTCGCGCCGCTCACTCCAGATCCGGATCCGTATGAACGCCGGGAGCCGTGGGGTGGCTCTGCATGCCCTCAGCTGTGTGACCGGGGTGGCTGCTGAGCCTCGGGCTCCTCCACCAAGCAGGCTGTGGGGAGCGTCACCAACATTGGGAAGGGGACAGCTGAGATGGGCCCGGGGAGGGACCTCAGGCTCCGGCCCTGGGCCCAGACTGGGGGTCCGGTTCTGACGCCACCGCCTGTGTCCAGCGGGGCCCCGGAGGGGTGCTCCCTGGCTGCCGCGGGCCCCCTGGGCTCGGACCGGAGCGGGGCGCCCTGCGTGCTGGCCGCCTACCCCAGGGCCAGTCTGAGGACCCGCACCGGCCCCCCTCAGGCGAGAGTCCAGGCCCAGGGGCGTCCGTCTTCTGTGACTTGGGCCAGGTCAGCCTCACGTAGGCTCCACTGTTAGTTCACCTGCTCTCAAGAACTGCAGCCACTGCCGGGCCGGCTGGAAACTTCCAGAAGGACTGCCCCTATTGCCCCTCTCATGCTAAGGGGTCGATGGCAAGAAATGCTCCTGCCGAGCCCCGGGTCTCCTGCCTGCCACGGGCCAGGCCGGGAGCGTCCTGCGGCGCCCGGTCCGGGCTGGGGGCAGGGGGCTCCCGAGGGAGCCTGGCACGTGGTCCCGTTGAGCCTCACCAGCGGCCCAGCAGGTGAGGACGTGGGGGAATGCCGTGGATGGGCGACCGGGGTCCCGGGAGACCCTGTCCAGCGGGGCTGGGACTCGGCTCCCGCACGTGACCGCCCCGAGGTCTGGTGGCCCTTACCGTTTGCCAGGGTCCCCGCCGGGGTCCTCAGCCTCTGCCGTCCAGGCCCCAGGTGGCCGAGGGCTGGGCGGATCCGAGCCCCCGCTCCCTGCGGCCTGCACCGAGGCCCCCAGCAGCCCCCAGCCCAGGGGCCCCCCGAGGCCGAGCAGCAGCGTCAGGATCATCCGGGCGGCGGCGGCTGCACCAACTGCTGCTGCTGACGGTGACGTCGTCTTCGACTTAAGTCTCAGAAGGAAAAGAAAGCAGAGAGACAACAAAGAGAGGAAGTGGCCTGGGCCGGCCCACCGGGCGAGCCCCGTCCGGCCCCCCCCCGCCCCCCTACGGCAGCCAACTACCCAGGCCGGTTCCTGTGCCTCGACAGGACTCGGGTCAGGGACACGGGAGGTGTGGGGCGCAGGAGGCGGCCACAGCACATGCGTCCCCGGGAGCCAGGAGAGGAGCGCGGGGCGGAGCGGGGCCACAGGAAGGGGGTCAGTGGCCAGGAGCCTGCTGCCCGTCCCCACTGGTGGCCGGGACATGAGGGGCACCTCAGGCCTACTCCGCGCCCTTCGCCCCGGGCTGTGGGAGCCAGCAGGTGGTGGAGAAGACAGGGATGGGGTGTCCGGGGTGGGCGTCGGGGGTGGCACTGGAGGCCGGAGGCCGGGCCATGGGGAGCCCTCCTTGCACCCTCTGCTGGATCCTGGGGGGGGGGGGTGACCCCGGTGCTGGTGACTCACCGGGCAGCCCAGGCTGGTCCTGCGGGATGTTGGTCAGTGTTGCCTGACCGGCCCGAGGACCCTAACCCCCGCCCTACCTGGGATGCTGGTAGCAAAGCCACCTCCCCTCTGAGCGCCTCTGTCCCTGGGGGGCAGACACTGGCCCCGGGCCTGCCAGCTCCAGGCAGGGGGGTGGGTGGGGGATGCATAAGGGCCAGTGAGGGACGAGCAGCCCAGCCCCCCCTCCCCCTCCTCCCCTGCTCCCAGCAGCCCCGCCGCCGCCGCATCATCAATATTTCACGGGCGTCAATAAGAGGCGGTGGCGGGGAGGCGGCTGCAGCAGTGCTGGCACCAGCTCCGGCCACCGCTCCCCGCGACACTCAGCCTCCTGCCCTGCCCACACCATGGACGTCTTCAAGAAAGGCTTCTCCATCGCCAAAGAGGGCGTGGTGGGCGCCGTGGAGAAGACCAAGCAAGGGGTGACGGAGGCGGCCGAGAAGACCAAGGAGGGGGTCCTGTATGTGGGTGAGTGCGGCCGAGGCAGGGCGTGGCAGGGCAGCCCTGGGGCCCAGCCTGAGCCCCCAGCCCCAGGGAGGGATGGGGGGGACCCGGCTGTTGAGGCAGGGTGCCAGGCCATGGAGCCCCCGTCCCCTGTACCCCAGCCCTAGTGTCCCCCATCTCTGCTCTGCCCCTCTGCCCCCCAGGGTCCCTGGGGCAGGACAGCGAGAGGGCAGGCGGCCCGCAGACATGCCTGTGCACACACACGTGCAAAGGGGCACGGATGCAACCCAGGTCCCCGCCCCAGCACCCCCTTCAGGCTCCATGAGAAGCCTCCGTGGGCCAAGCCGGCAGGTGCTCAGCACCCAGGGACCCACCCTGTGGGGGGGGCAGGGGGAGGAGCCCGAGCCCCGGGGTCCTGGGCAGCCCCCCAGCCACTCGGAAGCCGGTGACTCAGCTCTGTCCTGCACCACTTCCTGGCAAGCTTGGCCTCTGGCAGCCCCCTGCCCGTCGCCCCTGCCCGGCGGCCACTTCCCATCCATCCCCTTCCTCCAGATGTGGCAGGAAGCAGCCTTTGAAGGGACTGCCACTGACCCCACAGCTTGCCCAGCTGTTCTGTTTGCCCTGACGCCCCCGTTTCCTCCCCAGGAGCCAAGACCAAGGAGAATGTGGTGCAGAGCGTGACCTCAGGTGAGGAGCCTGGGACAGGGGCCGCAGGGCCAGGACCTCCAGGGGCCCCGGCTGGTCCTGAAGCCCCCGGCCCAGGGTCCTTACCCACAGCTGGGACCCAGAGCCCTGCAGGGCCTCCTGCTGCCCCAGGGTTTCTCTGGGGTCAGCGGGGGCGGCCCAGGGCCTCCAGTTCTGAGCACTTGGCCGGCCAGGCCCCAGCTGGGGGAAGGGGGGGGGAGCGCAAGAGGACGGGGCCCAGCCACAGCCACGTCCCCTTGCAGTGGCCGAGAAGACCAAGGAGCAGGCCAACGCTGTGAGTGAGGCCGTGGTCACCAGCATCAACACAGTGGCCGTCAAGACAGTGGAGGAAGCGGAGAACATCGCTATCACCTCCGGCGTGGTGCAAAAGGTGGGTCCCTGCCCCAGCGGGCCCCTCCCGGGAGGCTCAGGAGCAGCCCCACAGCCCCTCCTCCACCTCCAGGGAAGCGCGGGTGGGGGCACCGTGGGACCTCCAGGCCCCTGGGTGTGGCTGCTGCAAAGTGAGGCTCCTCCCACGTGCTCCTGGCCTCCTCGATGGGGTGATGGGGCGCAGCTCACCAGGGCGAGCAGTGTCCCCCGGCCTCCTGGGCAGCACTTCCCCTGGCCACGGGGCTGCAGGGGGGAGGGGGGAGCGCTCCCTCGGGACCACGCCCTGCACCTCTGTGCACACAGGTGCGGGTGCGGGTGCAGGTGCGGGGGCACTGCGGGGGCGGGGGCGGGGGTGGTGCAGGGCAGCCTGGGGTGGGTGGCCAGCTGGCCAAGCAGGCTCGGCTTGGAGCACTTTACACTTATTAACTCATTTAATCCAAAAAAATCCCCGGGGACAGGGTGTGACCGTGAGGCGGGGCGAGGGCCTGGCTGCCGGGCGGGGAGCTCCGGTGACTGAGCATTGGGGACCCCGGCTTCGGGGAGTGCGGGGCCCTGGGCGCCCACCCTCAGGACCAGCCCAGGGCCCCATGTCCTCTGAGCGGCCCGCCCCTCGCACCCTGGTGACCCCTGTGGCCCCGGTGGGAGGACTGGGTAACCCCTGCTGGCCCCCCATGGCCCCGCTGAGCCCAGAGCCCATCTAGGAGGCAGAGAGAGAGAAGGGTGCTGTCGGGCTAGGGATGTGCCTGGAGCAAGCCAAACCTGATCCCTGCAGGCCCCATCGTCTGGGCCCCAAGGCCTTGAGCTGGGTGCTCAGCCTCCCTGGCCCCATGAACGGAGATGACATACCCCTCCTCCGAGGGTCACTTAGGGGGCAGTTGGACAAGGGTGTACGATCCTGTGATTCAGCAATGCTGAGGATGGGGCCAGGCAGGCCGAGCTAGGGTTTTAGGGCTATGCCCGCCCACCACACCCCACTGCACCGCACCCCACCCCACCGCACCCACTCCACAGGACCGTGCGCTGCCCAGGAGCCTGCGGGGAGCAAAGCTGGGCTGCAGGGCACCTGGCGCCCCTGTGGTGGCCCCCCATGAGGCGCTGTTGCTCCCAGGGTCAGACGGGCCTCACACTCCGTCACCTCCCGCCCTCCACGAGCTGCGGGGTTCGAGCCCTGGTTGTGGCCGGCCTCCGCACAGCCCACATGCTCCCCTTTGCCCCCCGCAGGAGGACCTAGAACAACCCGCAGCCCCCCAGGAGGACAAGGCAGCCAGAGTGCAAGAGGAAGTGGCTGAGGAGGTAAGTGCTGGGCTCCCAGAGGGCCCTGGGCCTGCTTCCCCGCCTGGCCCCAGAGCGCTCGGGGCAGCCGCGTGAGGTCCCCCCAGGAATGACCCCTGGCCCCGTCCACGCGGGGTGGCCACGTCGGGCTGTGTGTGAGGGTCACTGTCTCCCCCAGGCCAAGAGTGGAGGAGACTAAGGCACGCAAGTCAGCCGCGGAGGCCCCAGGGAGCAGCCCTCTGCCTCGGGCCACCCTCCCTCGGAGCGCACAGCCCTGGAGCGAGACCTGGGTGCCCTGATCCTGCGCCCACACCCAGCGCCCCACAGGCCTGTCCGCCCAAGCTGCCTCTGATGCCTTCCCCTCCACCCCCTCCCTCCCTCGAGGCCTCCGACCCCCGGCCCCTCTGACCCCACAGATGCTGCTGTGAATTCAAATAAATTCCAACTAGAACTCAAGCCCTATGCGCCGGCCTCCCGGGCCTGGGCCCCCTCGGTGCGGCCGCACCCGGATCAGGAGCTGGGCAGCCTGCAGGGCTCTGGGAAGCAGGCCTGGGGCCAGGTGCCCCGTAGGCAGACCCTGGGCATTTCGGGAACCTCCTGAGAAAAGGCACCCTAGAGGCAACGGGGAGCCCACACAGTTGTGTTTTTACGTGGAGGGAGTGGCCCCCTGTGACTCCCGCAGACACCCGGTGCCGCGCCCCGAGCCCATGGTAACCAGAGCCACTCCACTAGGCCCGTGGCAAGGCCTCTGAGCGCTCCTGGCGCACGCGTGACCCCATGGCTCCTCCTGCGGGGCCCCAGCCAGCCTGGGCTGGGCTTCCTTGTCTGTCACCAGAAGTCGAAGTCGTGTCCAGGATCATTAGAAGAGAGGACCTCTGAGATGCAGGAGTGCAAGCCTCCACCTTGAAAGTAGTAAAAATGAGCCCCTCCCAGGTCTGAGCACTTCACCTAATTTAATGCTCAGGACAAACTCTTGGTATGACCCCAATTTCCCCAAGAATGAACTGAGGAACGGAGGAACAGAGAGGTTAAATAACTTGTTCGAGAGCACAGAGCGAGACAGCCTGGGCCTGGGCAGACGCCAAGGTTGCCTGCTTCCAGAGCTGCCCAGTTAACTCCCATGCTCTGCTACAGCCCCCCTGACGGTGTGGACTGGTGTGCTTATGGCAGATGCCACCCCTGCCAGGGTTTCAAAACAACCTGGGGACCAGGCTGGCAGGTGCCCTATATGAAGCGCTATGGGCATCGTGCCCGGGGTCCTGTTCAGAGGCAGCCGAGGGGCTCCTTCCCCTTTGGCACCCAGATGCTCTGGGCTCATCTAGGCGACTTGCCCCAAGCCTCCAGCCAGAGCTGAGTCCACACCTGCATTCAGCCACTAGGCCACTAGGGAGACCACCCCTTTGTCATCCTGCCTCAGTGGTGGCAAGCAGGGGTCAAGGCCAGCCCTGGTGGCTGGAAGCCAGGCAAGCAGAGCTGAGCAGGGTTGTCTCCCAGGCTGCTGGCCACGGGCATCCGCAGCTGAGGAGGCAGAAAGGAGCAGAGGGCTGCTGTCCTCCCAGGCCCCAAATCCCACCATGGGAGTAGTGAAGGGTCTGGAAGAGGTTCAGGGCAGTCGGGGTGGTTACTGCTCCTAAATGAGCACACAAGCAGGCCCGTGCATGCCCGGGAGCGTCCACCTGGGGCCTGGGTGTGCCTGAGAGTTCTTTGGACTGTAAGAAGAAGAGAGGAGGGGCAAGACCAAGAAGGTGACTGGCAGGGGGGGAGGGGGGAGACACCTAGACCCAGCCCCTGTGGACAGTGCACCACTAGGCTCCCAGGGCCATCTGCCTCCGCTGAAGGAACCTAGAAGGGTGCCTGGTGCTTGACTTCTCCCCTGCACATCTACTCAGGGCCCGTTCCTGGGCTCAAATGCCAACCATCTAGGTGTGCCCCGTCCTGGAAGCCTGTAACCCACCCTATGGCACCTGCAGTGCTCTTAGCCTTTAAAACCCCGTGGGTGGGATCCCTGGGTGGCACAGCGGTTTGGAGCCTGCCTTTGGCCCTGGGCGCAATCCTGGAGACCTGGGATCGAATCCCACATCGGGCTCCCAGTGCATGGAGCCTGCTTCTCCCGCTGCCTGTGTCTCTGCCTCTCTCTCTCTCTCTCTCTCTCTGTGACTATCATAAATAAATAAAAAAAATAAATAAACCTTAAAAAAAAAAAAAAACCGTGGGTGTGGGGCCTGGGTGCCTCAGTGGTTGAGCCATCGGTTGGCTTCCACCATGGGCATGGAGCCTACATGAAAAAAAAAAAAAGGACCCCTACTATGTGCTGTGGGCTCCTGGGGCTGTGCCCGACTTTCCTCGAGGAACACCTGGTCTCCCCGTACCCCTCTTCTTACATGAGAAGCCCGGGGTGAATGGCCCCAGTGGAAGGACCCCCCCCCACCGCCGAGTGTGGGGCATCCTCCAGCCCCTTTAACCCTCCCAGTAGCACTTTGGGGAGACTGTCTGGCCATCAAGGATGGGGTACACTGAGGCTGGGAAAGAGGGACTTGCCCTGGGGGTATGTGAACCCAAGTGACTACGGTGCCTACCGCCTGAGAGCCGCTGGGCCGGCCCTATTCCCGCCCCCTCCTCCCCCGCGTTAGAGCCCGCGGGAGCGGACGGTAGGCGGGGCCTGCAGACGTGGGGGGGGGGAGGCGGGGGAGGGGAGGGGGGGAGCGAGCTCCGCGGGGCTCTGCGGCTTCCGGCTTCCGCACAGGTGGTCACTGCTTCTGCAGCGCGCCCGGGGGAGGGGACCTCAGGTGCCCGAGGCTCCGTCCCGCCCAGCTCGCAGGCCCCTGGGGACCCGCGATGGAGACCCCGGCCAGGGCTCCGGGCGCCTCCGGGACCTGCCCCCTCCCCGCCCTGCCTGCTGCGGCGGGTCTGCGGGGGTGTCTGCGGGGGGGGGAGGTCTGCGGGCGGCGCTGCGGGGTCCCCGCGGGCCGTGCGCATCGCGGCTGGGCCGCTGCCGGGCTTTGGGTCCACACCCAGCGACCGGATTCCAGGCCCCGCCTTGGGACGTTGGGTGGGGCCGCGCTCGCCCCCGCGCCTCAGTTTCTCCCTACACACCAGCACCGCCCACTTCCCGAGGTTGCCGTGGAGCCGGGGCCGCGCTCAGCGGCCGCTCCTGCGGGATCCCAGCCTCGAGGCTGCGGCCACCGCATCCTGGGGGTCAGGCCGCAGGCGCCCCGCTACCCCAGCCCCTCTCTGCACCCCCACCCCACCCCTGCACCCCTCGGCCCCTCCAGACCAGGTGGGGCCGCAGCCCGGCCGGATGCGCAGGGTGGGGGTGGGGGGGAGTTGGGGGGGGGCTGGAGCGTGGCCCAGTCCTCCCGGGCGGGTCTGCTGGGAACCGCCCCGTACCCCCGCTCCCCCCTGCCCCCCCACTACCCTCCCCCGCGCGGGGCGGGCCCTCGGGCACCTTATAAAGCGGCGCTGCGCGGGGCCCAGGGCGACCGGCTCCAGCACCCAGCGCCCTCCGGGAGCGGAGCCCTGGCCATGGCCGGCAAGGGCCTGCAGGACCTGAAGCAGCACGTGCAGGGGGCAGCCCAGGAGGCGGGTGAGGACGCCCGGCTGCGGGCCCAAGGCGGTTGGGAGGGGCCCTGCCCAGGGGCCTGGGCTGGACGGGGTGCCTTCCGTGGGGAAACAGGGTGCCCAGGAGTTCGGGGGACCCCGCAACGCCGGGAGCCGCGGTGGAGGCTGCACGGGGCACCGGCCTACCCCATCCGGAGCCGCCCCCGGTCCCTAGGGGAGGGCGAAGGCCCGGGGCGAGCACCCGGCACCCCAGAACCATCTCTGCCCTGGGCTCTGCGAGGCGCACTGGACCCGATGGGGTGGTGGAAGCGGCCCAACCCCGGCCTTGTCCTGTCCCCCACCCGTTTCCTTCCATGTCCTCACCCTGAGGGCCTTCCTCCCCTCGCCCCAGAGGGCAGGTCCCCAGCCTTGTTTCTCCACCTCCAGCTCTTTCCTCCTCAGGCCTGAGGTTCCGCAGCTGCAGGGGGGCTGGGGGGGGTGGGCTGGGGGTAGGGAAGGTGAGGAGCCCCCCCACCCCAGCTGCTCTTCCAGTCCCAGGTCAGCCTCCCTCTGGACTCCAGTTCCCAGTGTGTCCAGCCTATGTCCCAGTCAACAGACGACACCCAAACTAACTCCCTCCTTCACCAGGGCCCCAGTCGCTGAGGGGCCCCCTCAGCACTGAGGGAACCCCACAGTCGCTCCCTTGGAACCAAAGTGCTACCAGGAAGCCTGTGTACAAGGCCCTTCCTTCCCGGCCTCACCTTCCCCATCTGTGGCCCAGACTGGTTCTGTCACATAGGCCAGGTGGGGAGGCTTTGGGAGCCAGACCCAGGGCCTGCCTGACAGGCCACCCCCCACCTACCCCCCTCTGGCCCAGAGTCTGAGTAAAGCAGGTTCTTTCCTGTTCAGCAAAAAGGATGAGTCAGAGCTCTGGAGGCCTGAGCCACTTGTCTGCTCACCCAGCAGGTGGGACCCACTTGAGCCCCTGGAAACCCTGTTCACCACAGGCAGGAACTTGGGTCCAGAGGAGATGGCCTGACCTTGGAAGCGTCACCTCTTCTCTGGACTTCATCTCCTAATGCCTCCAGTTGCCTGCCCACCGAGGCACTAGCATCATTGCTTGTGTGCCCTCTGGGGCAAGGCACGAAGACAGGGGGAGAGGGCCTCGCAGAAGTCGAGTCCCCAAGCACGAAAGATGGCAACTGAGGCATCTGCATTAGGCTTCTGGGGAGAAACTGTGGAAAAGGGGACAGGGTCCTTCCTTCCTGCACCATGCCCAGGGGCAGCGCCAGCCAGATTCCAGCTCCAGCCTCCCTTGGGATACTTTTCTCTGCAATCCTGGATTTGGGAAGAGAAGCAGGGCAGAGGGGAGGAGCCCAGAGTTATAAATAACCACCAACACCCCAGAGGCAATGGAAAGGGTGCCTGTGCCTCACGGGCTGGATAGCCTTAGTCAAAGGACTTTACTTCGATGGCATCTGACACTTGGGCCTGTAGGACAGGCTACTCTAGAGAAAGAACAGATGTGGGGGAGCAGGGGTGGGGCCCTGTGGTCAGCATTGTGGCGACAGGGGCTAAAGGCCTCATCTCTCTGTTCCAGTGACTGCGGCAGGAGCGTCGGCCCAGCAAGTGGTGGATCAGGCCACAGAAGCAGGACAGAAAGGTCTGGCGGGCTGGTGGGCAGGAGGGTGGGCGCCGCAGCACAATCCCCACCCTGGGCAGCCCTCGCCCGGACACCCCTCTGCCCTGAAGGCCCTCTGCCCACACTGCTTCCTGGGGATGGTGACCCAGGCCAGCCCAACCCTCCAGGGCTCTGGTTCCTGGGGCCTGGCTCTCATCTGCTTTCTCCTTTCCTTCCCCAGCCATGGACCAGGTGGCCAAGTCCACCCAGGAAACCATCGACAAGACTGCTAACCAGGCCTCTGAGACTTTCTCAGGTTTTGGGAAAAAATTAGGCTTCAAGTAATGCTAGAGGGAGACATGGATGACTGGCCTCCAGGCCCTGAGCTGCGGCGAGCCTTTGGCCTGCTGCCCTATTAAAGCCCTGGTTCCTACCTCGTGTCCGCGTCATGCCTCTCCACAAGCTGGGCCCAGGCCTCTGTGCCTAAAGCTGAGCCCCCGTATCCAGAAACCCCAACCGGGCAGCCAGAGTTCAGGCTGACAGTGTCCAAGGGTCTTTGCCCAAGGTCTCAACTGCAAATCCAGAGGTACGGGTGCCTCCAGCTGCCATCCGGGACCACACTGTCCCCCATTCCCCAACGGCTCCCCCCACTCCGGGAACCTCACCCTCCTAGGAGGGGACACCAGGGTCCCGGGGCTCGAAGGGCTCAGCTCAGGGTGGGGGGGGCGAGGGGCTGCAAGGGCAGGGGCTTCGGTTACTGCTCCCGGACCTGGGCCTGGAGGCTGGGAGCACAGGCTGGGAGGACCTCGGGTGGCGGGGCCCTAGGGACGACGCGAAGTCTTAGGAGCAGGACTTCAGCACCCCCCCCCCCACCGCCCGCGGGATGTTTACGCGCCGACCCCACCCGGCGGTGAGTCACCGCCAGGCGGGAGGCTGGGCCCGCCCGAGCAGCCGCGCCCCGGTGGGGGGGACTGGCTGAGGGAGCCCCGCCCACGACACGCCCCGGGGAGTCCTGCTGGAGTCCCGCCCACAACCCCGTAGACCCGCCCACGACACGCCCCTGGGAGCCCGCTGGAGCCGCGCCCACAGCCCGGTAGCCCCGCCCACGACACGCCCCGGGGAGGCCCGCTGGAGCTCCGCCCACAACCCCGTAGCCCTGCCCACGACACGCCCCGGGGAGGCCCGCTGGAGCTCCGCCCACAACCCCGTAGCCCCGCCCACGACACGCCCCTGGGAGCCCCGCCCACCGCCCCGTAGCCCTGCCCACGACACGCCCCGGGGAGGCCCGCCGGAGCTCCGCCCACAAACCCGCCCACCACAGGCCCCCGCCCGCTGGAGTCCCGCCCACAACCCCGTAGCCCCGCCCACCACACGCCCCGGGGAGGGGCCGCGGTCCCGACGGCGGGAGAGGTCCGCGGGGCGCGACCCCGGCCCAGCGCCCCTGCCCGGCGCCGCCAGGCCCTCCGTGGGTCCCGCAGCGCCCTGGGGCCTCGGCCCCGCAGGTTGGTCCCCCCGCAGCACCTGCCCACGCAGGCGACGCCGGCCCGGGACGCCCGCCCCCCTGGCTCGGTGCTGCCCTGTGGCCGCCCTCGTGCGCAGCCCTGCTCTGCGGGCCCCCCGTCCCCGCTCCCGGGACCCCAGGCGGTGGCGGGTCCCCATCGGCGAGGCAGCCTGCCCAGGTCTCCCCCAGGGCCAGCCCGGCCCCACCCCTGGGTCCCTGCTCCCCACCTAGTGTGCTCCCGAGGCTGCTCCCCGCGGCCCACTGGGAGGCCGGGGGTCTGCGAGGCTGGGGCCCTTCCAGCGCCTGCGGGAGCCCGCCCCCGGTGGTGCAGGGTCGGGAGAGGTCCTGGGCCACGAGGGGGACTGGGTGGCATCGCTCCGGCGGCGTCCCTCCCCTGGTGACCCAGATCCCTCCTGACCCAGGGCTCCGCGGAAACTGCCCCAGGGATGGGGGGGCCCAGCTGCGGCCAAGGAGACGGGGGGAGCGCACCTGGGGGCCAGGAGGCCTCAGGAAAGAGCTTTCCATCCAAAAAAAAAGAATTTCTGTGGCTGGAGGTGATGCTTGCAACCTTGGAGGCCACTTGTAACCAGGGAACAAGCCCCAGGACAAGCCAAGGTGCTGGGAGCGCAGAGCAGGAAGGGAAAGGAAGGGAGGCCCAGGGCCCCAGTTCCTTCAGTCAGTCCCAGGACGCATCCTTGCACCCACAAGAGGATGTGGTTCCCCCATGTTCAGCCCTGAAGCTTTGTCTGGCTCCCCGCCCCCTGCCCCCTGCCTCCCTGCCCCCTGCCCCCTGGGCCTGGGCCTGACCTTGCTCCTGCCCCCCAGGACTTGGCGTGTGCAGCTCCCTCCCCCCGGAGGACTGCTGTGGGGGAGAAGGCTGCCGCCACTGCACCTGCTGGGTCTTGATCAACCCTTCCATTAGCGATTCCTCCAAATAATTCCTGATTCTCCAGATTCCAGTCCCTCATGGAGCCAAACACAGGGTCACTAACATTATGTTGTGGGGGGCGCCTGGGTGCCTCGGAGGTTGAGCAGCTGCTTTGGGCCCAGGGCGTGACCCCGGGGTCCTGGGATCCAGTCATGTATCAGGCTCCCCGCCAGGAGCCTGATTCTCCCTCAGCCTGGGGCTCTGCCTCTCTGTGTCTCTCAGGAATAAAGTCTTCTTGAAACACAAAACAAAACATTACATTTCAGTTCCCCTTGACTTCTCAGCTCTGATTCCTGTCAAATTACAAAGTACATAAGAGACAAGGAGCAGGATTTTCTATTTTCCACTTTCTCTCTTTAACGATTTATTCACTATAGAGACGGAGAGAGCCCGAGGGCCGGCTGCTGGGGCAGGGTGACGTGGTAGCCCTCTGCAGCCTGGCGGGCACTGAGGAGGAAGAGGGAACCTGCGGCGTTCAACGGGAAGCCCCTGTCTTCCCGACGTGGGAGGCTGTTGGGAATCCCAAGTCCACATCTGAAGTATCGGTGGGATATTGTCTGGGAGGGGGCCAGGGCCTGAGGCCCCCCACGCTCCTCCCCGCAGAGTTGGACCCATGTGCGCAGCCCTGGCCCTGCCGCCTCTTAGACCTGCGGCCTCTTAGAGCCAAGCCGGCCTCGAGGAGTCCCAGCCTCCAGGCTTCAGACCCTGCCCTCTCAGGGACGTGTTTTCTCTGGGAACGCGGGGCTCCTCCGCAGTCCCGCCCCTCCCCCCTTCCCCCCCCCCCAGCTCTTGGGCCTCACCTTCCTTCTTTCTTCATGTCCTCAGTTCAAGGAGCTCTGGCTGGAGGGCCGTCTAGTCCCAGAGCTGCAGGCCTGTCCCCGCACCTGCGCGGCCCTCGTGGCCCTCGCCCTCGTCGGCCCCGCAGCACTTCCTCGCCTTCCCTCCTTGCTCCCGCCTGGCTCCCCTGCTTGTGTCCTGGCTCCTGGCTTGGATGTGTGTGGGGCTGGCGGCGGCCTTTGTCGTCCTCCTCCTCCTCCTTCTCCTCCCTATGCTCTCCAGAGGAGAAGGGCGACTATTCAGAACTAAGCAGCTGCCCCGCTGCCTGCACTCTGGCGGGCTGAGCCTGCGGGCTGCATACAGGGAATCCACCTGCGCCCACCTGCGCCCACCTGCTCCTCCCCGCCCCGCCTGGGACCTGCCCCTGGAACTGCCTCAGCAGGCCTCCCCCCTCAGCCCCAGTTGAGTTCAGTCAGTGGGGAATATTCCGGAGAGCAGACAGGAGGGCAGGTACTTATTCCTCCCACACCCTCCTCCTTGCTCCGTGGCTGCTGCTTCTGTCCCGGGGTGGGGGGCTCCTAGAGCCACGGCCGTCCTCGGCATCCATACGGGCCCAGGATGACTTTTTTTTTTTTAATTTACTCACAAGAGACACAGAGAGAGGCAGAGACACAGGCAGGGGGAGAAGCAGGCTTCCTGCGGGGAACCCCAGGCGGGTCTCAATCCCAGGACCCCGGGGTCACAACCTGAGCCCAAGGCAGATGCTCCACTGCTGAGCCACCCAGGCGTCCCCAAAATTTGACATTTATGACACCCACAGCTCAGCTCACAAAAGCAGGACCCCGAGGACTGGAGCATTTAAAATAAACATGTTTTATTTTTATTTTTCGGATTCGGTAATTGCTAAGTTGGCAACTTGTTATTGGAAACATCGGCGCTCCGTGACTGGGTGATGCAGCCAGTGGGTCCTTTGCCAAATGGGCTGTTGACCACATTCCACTGGGAGGATTAGTCGGCTCCTCTGAAGGCCTGACTGTCCCGCGGGAAAGGCTGGACGTGACCTGTGACTCAGGCCAGGCGGGCCCAGATGCCCGTGTTCCCAGCTGCTCCCTGGGGCCTCTTCCGGGGTGGCGCCAGCTGGGTCATCTTCAGCCTCTCGCAGGCTGTGCCGCTGGGCCTGAGGCCTTGCTGGAGCCCAGCCCTGCGTGGGAGCGCCGTGCACAGGCTGAGAGCCGGAGCTGGAGCCCGAAGGCTGAGGGCAGCAGACGTGGGCCAGGGCACCGCGATCTGGGCCCGGGCCGTCCCGGGCAGCCAGGCTTCTCCAGGCCGCTGAAGGCCCCCAGCTCCTGCGGGGAGGCCGAGGGGGCCCTGCCCACAGCGCGGGCCTCCCGGCACCAGGCAGGAGCGTGGGGGCCGTCAGGCCGTGGCACCCGGTGGGCAGACACTAGTCAGGCCTCACCCCCTGCCCTGGGCCTCGTGGCGTCCACAGGGACCACAGTCCCGGCCCTCTGCCCCCGCGGCCGGCCCCATACGGCGGTCACCCGGGGCTCGCCGCCACGCGGCCTCCCCTAGACAGCTGCGACGAGGGGCGGAGAATAGAGTCCCCCGGAGCTTGGCACACGGTCCCCGACTCCCAGCGCCACGGCCACGAGGGCATGGCTGTCCCCATTTTATAGACGCGGAAACTGAGGCTTCGTTTGGGCCCGTGACTAATGGGTGCAGCATGCAGCACGTGGCTGGGGCGTCTGTCCATCCCGGGTAATGAGGGACGCAGCCTGGCCCTTAGGCATGTGACAGGTCAGGGCCGGTAGAGTGGCTTTCTGGAATTCTGGCTAGGGCCGGGCACACCTCGCCCGGTGGTGGTGGGTCCCCCTTCTACCCCCCTAGGGCCTCCTGGGGGCGCGCTGACCTCGCAGGGCCTCTCCCAGAAGCCAGGCCCGCAGCGCAGGGTGACGGGGCCTCGTCCCGTGCCAGGCTTTCCCTGTGCAGGGTGCTGGGTGCTCGGTGCTCCTGTGAGTCGCTCCCTGCCAGCCAGGGGCCACTGGCTTTCTGGTCAGTGCTGTGTCCTCCTCAGCCTTGGGCCAGGCACCGTGATGACCCCGCAGGATGAGCCCCACACACACTCACGAAATTTCCAGTGAAAGCTGCAGACACTGCAGGCTGAGTTCCTGGGCCCGATGGCCCCGCTGCCCTCGCTCCTGGGCTGAGGGGCCCGCCAGGTGCCCAGGTGCCCGGGCCCTCAGGCCCCTAACTAGGCCGCCCTGGGCATCCCGGACGGTGGGCTGGAAGCCCGAGGCCCTAGTGGGCGCGCAGCCCCGCCCGGCCTCCTACCTCCCCAGGCGCCCAGGCCGCGGTGGGGCACGGCCTTGTCCCGAGCTGACTCTGTGGGCCCTGGCGGGTCCCGGCCCGGGGTGCGGGGTCTCGCGGCCAGAGGGGCAGGGCTGCAGTCGGAGCTCGGGGCCCCACCCGGCCTCTTCCCCACCCCTGCGCTGACTCACCCCTGACCCACTTGGCGGCCTGGGCACCAGGGCCAGGCGTCTATAAAGGCAGGCGGGCCCAGGCCCTGCACTCTGCTCGGTTGCCACCTGTCGCAGCGCCATGCTGGGAGGCCTGGGGAAACTCGCCGCTGAGGGCCTGGCCCACCGCACCGAGAAGGCCACCGAGGAGGCTGGTGAGGACTCCGAGGCTCCTTTCTCCCTGGGCCCTTCTCCCAGGGCTGGGCCTGTTGGAGGCTGATCCCACGCCGCCTGGGGGGCCCTTGCCCCGCGAGGATGGGGCGGAGGTGGCTTGGGCAGGATCCTGAGCGGCCGTGGCTCCAACAGGCCTCTGTGGCTCAGACCTGTCCCTGGGGCCTGGGACGAGGGCAGGAGGGATGGCAGCTCAGGGGAGGCCCCGGGAGGTGCTGGGAGGGCCTCGATGGCTGGGACCCTCGGGCATCAGAGCAGCCCCGGACACAGGAGGAAAGAGCCGTTTCCACCTGGGCCATCGGTTTACAGCTTCAAAGGGAACCGGGCAACTGGGTTCCACGTCGGCCCTGGGGCCAAAGGCCATTTCCAATTTCTCTAAAGTCCTCAGCAGCCCCTGTCTGTCCACAGACACCGCGACTGTGTCGGGAGGCCAGTCCAGGTCCCCCTGGTTGTGCCTGGCCGCCCGCCGCCCTCCCTGTGTCGTCTGCCGGCCTCAGTGGCCTGCCCCTGTCACTGTCCGCTGGCCCCAGCCCCTGCCGCGGCCCGACTCCTGACGCCAAAGCCTTCCAGGCTGGCTGCTGCCTCCCAACTCCAGACACCCCTCGGGGGTCCGTTTCCCTCCTGCGGTGTCAGGCGGGGGCGGGCCCGCACCCCAGAGGTGCCCTGACATGGGGACAGGCCGCCCTTGACCCCAGGCCCCACGGGGGAAGGAAGGAAGGCCTGCTTGTGCTTCCAGCCGCTGCCAGGCAGGGCGGGCATCCAGGTGTCCACCGGGCTCTCAGGCTGCTGCCCCCGTCCCACCGGGTCGCGGACGTAAACCGGGGAGTCCCGCCCGGGGTAACGCCCGGGATGCCCTGGGCCGCGGGCTCTCACTCTGGGCTTCTCATCTTTCCAGTTCACGCCGTGGAGGGAGTGGTGAAGGAGGTACTAGAGCACGCCAAGGAGGCTGGAGAGAAAGGTAAGAAGGTAGGGGTGCGGGGTGCGGGGTGCGGGGGGGGGGTGGCGGGGGAGGAGGGCAGCGGCTGGAGGAGCCAGAGGGAAGCGTGGGTGGGAGTGCGGCCAGCGCCAGCAGGTGAGCCCCGCCTTGACCCTTTGGGCGGGACCGAGGCCAGCCGGTGCCCCGCGGCCACCCAGGAGCAGGGGCGCCCCGCCAGAGCAGATCAGTCCCCATCCTTTCCGTGGAGGTCACACGGTGACACACACCCATGGCAGCACACACACACGCGCACTGGGCCCCTCCCATGAAACACTCCAGTTGTGTAAGCATGAGGTGACAGGCAGGCCAGGCACCCAGTGGCCACGGACATTGGGGTGATGGAGAGCCTGGGGTCAGGGCCTGGGTCAGGGCTCGGGGTCAGGGCTCAGGGTCAGGACCAGGGTTAGGGCTGGGGTCAGGACCTGGGTCAGGCCTGTGTCAGGGCTTGGGGTTGGGCTCAGGGTCAGGGCCCGGGTCAGGGCCGGGGTCGGGGATTGGGGTCAGGGCCTGGGTCAGGGCTCAGGGTCAGGGCCTGGGTCAGAGCTCAGGGTCAGGGCCGGCGTCAGGGATCGGGGTCAGGGCCGGGGTCAGGGCCGGGGTCGGGGCCGGGACGCCATTCCCGTGTCCGCAGTGGGCAGCGGCTGGGAGAGTCGGGGTGGCCTGTGAGTGGGGACCAGCCCGTGACAGCCCAGGTGGGCCCGGTAAACCCCCCAGTACGGACCCTCCCAACCTTCCGCCATAAAGGAAGGGCAGTAGAGCAGCACCGGGAGGACGCCCCGCGACCTGGGGGCTGCGGGACCTCTGGCTGTGGCCCCCCCTTCCTCGACCGCTGCCCGCTCACCGCCTCGCTCCCTCCCTCTGCCAGCCGTCGCCGACGCCCTGAAGAAGGCCCAGGACTCCGGGGAGAAAGTGGTGAAGGACGTCACCGCAACAGTGACCGAGGCCGTGACAGGCGCCGTGGCCCACGCCGTGGAGGGCTTGGGCCCACGGGGGCAGTGAGCAGGCCTGCGGGGCTCCCGCGCCTCAATAAAGGGCCGCCCCACCAGCTTGTGGCCACTGCTTCCTGGGGCAATGGAAACACGGCCCCCCCAGGGCCCCGTGGGGCAGAGGCCAGCCTGCGGCGCCCTCTGGGTCACTAGGTCCCCGCCCCATGCATCTCTCCCAGCGCCACGGAGCTTGGCTGGTCGTCAGGGGCGGGGCTACTTGTCCTAAGAGATGGCTTGCCCAGACGCTGCCCGGGGCCCCCGACACCCTGGGCCCCCGATACCTCACTGCTCCCTGACATCTCACTGACCACGGAGACCCCAGGGCCCTGACACCTCACTGCCCCCCGAGACCCCGACACCTCACTGTCCCCCGAGACCCCGGGGCCCCGACACCTCACTGCCCCCTGAGACCCCGGGGCCCTGACACCTCACTGTCCCCCGACATCCCGGGGCCCCGACACTTCACTGCCCCCTGACACCCCGGGGCCCCGACACCTCACTGCTCCCCGAGACCCCGGACCCCTGATACCTCACTGATCCCTGACACCTTGGGGCCACCGACACCTCACTGCCCCCCAACACCTCACTGCCCCCTGACACCCTGGGGCCATAGACACCTCACTGCCCCCTGACACCCCGGGGCCCCCGATACCCCAGTGCCCCCCGACAGCCCCGGGGAAGGCGCAGAATTGGGCGCACACGCCCCTGGGGGTTCCATGAGCCGTCCCCGTGGAGGATGGCCGGCAGGCTCACTTGCGGTGCTTCGTGTTTGGAAAGGGCCCCGGAGAAGCACGTGTGGGGTCAGACAGTCACAGACCGGGTCACGTAGTTATGGGCCCCGCTAGCCACCCCAGCCCGGTCAGGACCCAGGAGCCAGAGGCCGAGAACTCCCAGCCCTCTCCGCGCCCCGAGGGGCAGCACCCACTAGGTAGACGTGTGCGAATGGCACCTAGCCTGGCCTTCGGCAGGGAAACATTGCTTCCTTATCTTGCCCGAAGTTACTGGTTCTTCACAGAAATTGGACGAAAAGGTGTTTTAAGGAGCATGAGAGTTGGTCATCACATTTCTGGCTTTTTTAAAGAAGTGGCTCCTAAGTCGGGAACAGCCCCGGGAACATCTAGCGTCCTGGCGTGGAGCCTGTGCCGCCACAGCTACATCTGGCCTTTGCACCTTGCTTTGGGCCCTGACGACTTTTGAATTCCCCAGTCTAGTCCTAGCTAGAGAGAGAGGGAGGGGGAGCAGGAGGGAGGGAGAGGGAGGGAATCGTGGGAGGCAGTGTAAACTGGAGAATTCCCCTTACTGAGACTGTCCTGCCAGCGTGCACAGGCACCCACAGATAGGCCTAGCAGGGGACACCCGGACCACCGCGGCCTGGAGCTAATAGCGAGTGTTGGCAACGCCCTCACATGCCCGGCAGACTCACCTGGACGGCGGGCTTGGCTCTGCTTAGTGGGTTTGGCGCATAGTGAGCGCCGACTTCTAGTGTATTGGAAACCATATCCCAGCGTGAAGAGCAGGACCCTGCCCAGATGGCCACCAGTGGGGACTGGTTAACGACTGTTGCACGTGTATGTGAAGTGGCATTCCCACGACTGTCACGGAGAACGAGGGAATGTCTGAGTAAATTAGAAGCTGTGACATACGTACGTAGGAAGGGTTGGTTTCTGTAAAGCAAGGTCATACTTGTGGAAAAAGAGAAGAAAACTGGTAGCATGTACACAGCAGACGTACTGAGAATTTCATCTCTGTGTCCGTGGGAGCAGAAGGAGCTTCCTCCCTTACATGACAGGTCATGATGCTTGAATTTAAGAGAAAGCCGACACGACACACAGATTTTAAAATGTTGTTGAGGGGGCACACACTGGCTTAGTCAAGGTCGTTTGCTGCTGAAGTGCTTGCTACTCAGAGTTTATTGGTTTGAAACATTATTTACCACTTGGTGACAGGATGAGTGAAGAACAGAGCATTTAGAAACTTCTACACTGAGGGATGCCTGGGTGGCTCAGCGGTGGAGCATCCTGGGATCGAATCCCGCATCGGGCTCCTGGCATGGAGCCTGCTTCTCCCTCTGCCTGTGTCTCTGCCTCTCTCTCTCTCTCTCTCTCTGTGTGTGTGTGTGTGTGTGTGTGTCTCATGAATAAGTAAATACAATCTTTTTAAAAAAAGGGACATTGCCTGGCCCTCCAGGAGTGTGATCAGCAGATGGTGCTTGTTGAACAAGGTAAAAACCAGCTCTGGTTGTCGAACTTGCACGGCAAGTTGTATGTGAACTAGTCACAGGAAGCAGGATCACATGCCTAATGCTGATGCATTAGTTTAACAAACAAATCGGTCCTTTGCCACAGGAGGCTGGAGAAGCACCGCCCACGGTTCCTTAACTTCACCTTGTAGTGTGCTGTTCTAGAATAAGTGCTTCTGTCATTTTCTCTTCACTGTGCGTGTTGTGCACCGAGTGGTATGACATCAGCCTCAGACAAGGTCTATCTAAAGGTATGTTTATAAAAAGCAATAGATAGTGAGAAGTTGGTGAAGTGGGGCCCTCCAAAAATTCTCTCCTCCATAAAAGTAATGAGAAAACTGGCAAAAATATAGTCAGAATCAACTCTTTTCAGAATTCTTAACCAAAAGTGTACAGCAACCCCAGGAGCATTCATGTAAAACCAATTAAAAATAAACAGGGATCCCTGGGGGGCTCAGTGGTTTAGCATCTGCCTTTGGCTCAGGTTGTGATCCCGGGTTCCTGGGATCGAGTCCCATGTCGGGCTCCTGCAGGGAACCTGCTTCTCCCTCTGCCTGTGTCTCTGCCTCTCTCTGTGTCTCTCATGAATAAATAAATAAAATCTTAAAAAAAATAAAAAAAAGAAATCTCTGTCCAATCATTAGCTAACCATGAAGCTGCCTGGATAGAAAGAACCTTCAATGGCAAAACACAACAAAGAAAGCAGACTACAGAACTAGTTCAGGAAAGTCAGTAAACTAACACTCAACAACAAACACCAACAAGATATCTGTGGGGAGGGCAGTGGAATCTGATTTCAGGGTTGCCACATTACATCACTTAGTATGTCTAGTTTTCAGGAAGAAAAAGATATGCAAGGCAGACATTATGGCGCATTTGAGGGGGAAAAATGGAAACTGTCCAAAATATTGTACTTACCAAAGACTTTTTTCCCTCAAAGACTTTAAATCAATTGTTTTAAACATGTTCAAAGAGCTAAAGGAAAGCACATCTCCAGAATTAAAAGTGTAAGACCAATACCAAATAGGTATAGAAACTATAGAAAAGAATGAAATAGATATTCTAGAGTTGAAAGTACAACTGAAATAAAACATTCATCAGAGCGCTCAGCAGCAGATGTTAGCAGGCACATGAAAGAATCTGTGAACTTGAAGACACATCAAATGAGGTTCTCTAACCTGAGGAACCTTGGGTTGTTTGGCATTTGTCCAAACAAATGAACAAAAATAAAGAGGATTAGAGATGAGTGCATCACTGTGCACAATGGGGGTCCTCGAGGGAGAGGAGAGAAAGAGGCAGGACGAGTACTAAAGAAGGAAGTAACAGTTGAAAACGAATTTGATGAAAATGTAATAACCTGATACTTCCACGAAGCTCAGTGAACTCCAAGTAGGAAGACGCAAACACTGCACACCAGGCATAGCCCTAATCAAACTGTTCAAATCCAAAGACAGAGAAGAATCTTGAAACAGAAAAGTAAGTCATCACATGAGAGAGAGGCTCAACGACATTCACAGGCGACTTCTCATCAGAAACCGCAGAAGCCACGGGCAGGAGGGTCACCTCCTCAAAGTGCCCAGGGAGACGGTGGACCAGCACCCACAGGTGTCTGTCCTCACAGGGCCACAGTCGGATTAACCCATCGGACCACCGCTCCCTGCTGCCGACCCTGCTGTCATCAGGGGACACATGGTGGACCCAGGCCTTGGCCTGTCCCACCAGGGTCACGACCCGCTGCAGGGTTGCAAAGATCCAAACACCAGCAGGTGCTGCCCCCCCCCCCCCCCGAGCCCTCGGATCTGTGCAGCGCTCTGTGCGAGCTTCCCCGGGACACTGTGCTTATGGCAGCACCGCCTCCACTCCGCTCACAGGACACTGCCCCAGAAACTTTGGCCAACAAGGCTCCCTGGACGGTTCCAGGAGTTCAACTCTGAGATAGTGGTTTTTTTTTTTTTAATTCCTTCATTTATTTTTAATTGAGGTGAAATTTACATACCATATAATTGTTTTAAAGTGTCCGGTCCAGTTATGTTGGCAAATTGAATTTAAATTTAAGAAAGGTAAAAAAAAAAAAAAAAAAAAAGCACAGTCCAGTGGCACATACTGTATTCACAATGTTGTGCAACCATCACTCTTAGTTTTAAAACTTCGTTATCGGGACGCCTGGGTGGCTCAGCAGTTGAGTGTCTGCCTTCGGCCCAGGGTGTGATTCTGGAGACCCAGGATCGAGTCCCGCGTCGGGCTCCCTGCATGGAGCCTGCTTTTCCCTCTGCCTGTGTCTCTGCCTCTCTTTGGGCCTCATGAATAAATAAATAAAATCTTAAAAAAAAAAAACAACAAAAAAAAACTTCGTTATCACCTCGGGGCGCCAGTGGCTCAGTGGGTTGAGCATCTGACTCATGGTGTTGGCGTGGGTGGTGATCTTGGGGTTTGTGGGACCGAGCCCCGCGTACCACTTTGTGCTCAGTGGGGTCTGCTTGGGATTCTCATCTCTCCTGCCCCTCCCCGCACTCGTGCATACACTCTAATAGATGGATACATCTTTAAAAAAACTAACCAAACCGAAAATCCCCTATTACACCGCCTCAGCAAAGACCCCACACTCGTAGCTAATCGCTCCCCAGCCCCCAGCAGCATGAATCGGCCTTTTGTATCTGTGGACACCTGTTCTGGGACAGCACATATGTTTTGTTACAAAGAGGTCTATCGATTGCTTTCCCCACATCGATTGAGATGATTAGGTGGTTTTTCTTTCCCTCTATCCTATCAGTGGAGTGTGCGACTGTGATCTTACGTGGTGCCACCCTTCCATTCGTGAACTAAGTCCCACCTGGTTGTGATGTGTGTGTAACACCTGTCGTGAGCTGCTGGGTTCAGTTTGTCAGTGTTTTACTGGGTATTCTTGTGTCCACAATCGTAAGGGATATTGGCATGGTTTTCCTTTTCTTGTGAGGTCTGTCTGGCTTTGGTATCAGAATGCTGGCCTCATAAAGTGTTTCATCTTCCGGAAGAGTTTGAAAAGGAGTCGTGGTAACTCTTCTTTAAACGTTTGTTATTGTTCATCAGACCTGTGTAACCTTGGGTTGGGCGATGGCATCTTAGCTCTAACACCTAAGGCACAGCAACCAAAGATAAATGGATTCGACTCCATCAAAAAAAAAAAAAAAAGCAACATTTGTGTTAAAGGACACCATCAAAAAATTGAGAAGACACATCAACAGAATGAAAGAAAATATTTGCAAATCCTATCTGATAAGGGTCACACCCAGAATATAACAAAGAACTCTTAGAAGTCAACCACAAAGATAACCCAATTAAAAAAAAAAGGGGGGGGGGAAGGATTTAAATAGAATGAAAATGAAACATTTGAGGTTGTTGCAAGTGGCTGCCCCTGTGGAGTGGAAGCCAGGGGAAGCCCGGCGTATAGATTTGGAGGTACAAGCTGCTGTTCACAGTAAGACTCGAAATTCTCAACAGGGAACCCCGCAGGGGACACTTGGCAACGTGAATACATTTTTGATCGGCGTATCCAAGAGATGCCATCGGTTCTAATGGGTAGAGGCCAGGGATGCTGCTAAACATCCTACAAAGCAGATCCCACGACAAGCAACTATGTGGCCCCCACCGCCAACAGTACAGAGGTTGAGATGGACTAAATCACTGTGTGAGCTTTGAAAATAAACAAAGAAGCCAATAAAAGAAAAGTTATTTGTGAAAAAGAAAATCGTTAAGCAAAAAAAAAAAAAAAAAATTCTTTCACAGGGGTCCCTCTGCAAGGTCTGTAGCGGTGTCCGCGTGTGCTGTTTGAATGTGTAGCGTGGCTAAGAAAGTCTACGGGGGCCTTGGGGAATAGCGAATTTACTTAAAGCCGGAGAGTTAAGAGGCTAAGGTTTTCTTAAAAAAGGTTTTCTTAAAAGAGTTAAGTCCCCAATCCTAGGGATTGCCAGAAGCAGTGCTTCTATTCCTGCCAGACAGGAAGCTTCTGCGCCTCACTTCCCTAACCCTCACCTATCGGGGTAATTAGACTACATTCCGGAGCAGGGATGCTCGAGGCAGCAGTAAAGACTCCAGAGCATTCTGCGCGTGAAACCGGGGCCACGTGCGGTTACCTCGGAAGCAATTCCCTTTAGAGCCTTCTACGCAAGTTCTCAGAAGAATGAGAAATAATAAGCTGGGCAATTTCAGTGAAGCGGAGAGACTAATTGACCAGCATTTTCAGGTCCAAACCTCCAGAAACCAAGCAGACACCGACAGTCTGTTGGCTTTCTGGAGCCAGCAGGCACCATCCTGGCTTCTGACATTAGCACCAGCAACACACGTCACTGTGGATCTTCTCTCTAAGAAACCACTATAAATAGTCCCAAGATTAGCCGAGGGCCACCAAGAAGACCCATCATCCCCCTTTCACGCGACCTGAACCCACTGCCCAGCCCTGGATTGTTCCCCTCCCCCTACTTCAGCCTCTGCCCAGAGTGCAAGTGGACAGACCAGTAGGGACGGCCTCCGTGTCCCTGGTGCCGGATGTCTTGTTTACCTACCGCCTAACTCAGGCCTCAGTACTGCAGATGTTCTGGGCAGAACTGGGACAAAACAGAGTCCGGCTGAAAGCTGAGCCCCAGACTTGGCAGCCAGGTGACTGGTAGTCAGGTCCGGGATCTAGTTCTGCTGACAGCGGTCAGCAGTCCGTCTAAAGTGGTTACATGCTGTGACTAAGTCATTAAAAACAGAACCCTAATCAATGAATGCTCCTCTACTTAAAAAGACTAAAAATTACTTGAGCGTGTCAGCTTTCAGTACTAAAACCTCTGCCAAGAGCCACCAATATTGTTCAACAGAATGAAACATAGAAGAATTCAAGAATAAAATCTGGACGGCTCGTAATACTGTGGGAAGAAATGTTACACAGGTGGTCGTTTCAAAAACTTTAGAGACCCGACTTAGTTTCATTATTTCCTAAAACAGTTACTATTAAATATAAAAACACAGAAACACCGGAAGCATAAGCTTTGGAAAAGGTAGACTTTTAATAACTGCTTTTATCACCAGGTTAAGTCATGCAGTTACAAAGTAGTTAGAAATTTTGAAAGGATATTGTTTTTTTTTAAAAAAAAGCTCATTCTTACATAAATAATATCTAGTACTTCATTGGGACACTACTGTTCAAAAGGCCCTCGTGAAATAACTCCCAAACAAAACACTCAACCCAAGGATGTTTCCAGCCCAGTGGTAATGAAGCTGCGAGCAGAATTCAGGCCTCTCAGGGGACGCCGAGGCAGGCCAAGTCGGGGCCCCTGGCAGGGCTCGGAGCCGCCAGCTAGACTCCAGAGCGGGAGTCCAAGTGGTTTTTTTCTGGGACGCTCTACTTGAATTATTGTTCAATTAGACAACACAGTAGATCTTCAGAAGAGAACAATTAATTACCATGATAAGGAGGTTACTGCACTCTTTGGACTCTATGTCGTAACTGTGGTTAGTAAATTCTGACAGTCTTAACAAAAATAGCCTCCACCATTGGCAGGTGTGAAGATAACTTAATTCTTCATTGGACTTATTTTTTTGCTGGACAACAATACATGACTGATAAGCTATAAATGATACTGTTTTATATTATAAAAATACTAGCTTTTTTTCCATTTATTATGTTTATAGGCATTCACTGCTCGAGTCAAGGTTAGGCTTGGTAAGTGATTAAAGGCAATTTTATTACAGCAGCATGTACTTATTTTATTCTAAGAGAATAAAATGCATAAAGAGAAACAGCTTTTATCTTTGTTGCAATCTGTAAAACTAAGTTATTTTGCTGATGTAAAATACCAGTAAGTCACTTGAGGACCATGCCACCCTCTGAAAATGCCCCACACCTGCCGCAGGTCTCAGACTCATCCAGAGCCGAGGCAGTGAGCCCCTGGCTGCTGCTGGGCAACAGGTGCATTCCCGGCCCCAGGATCCACCCTGGGGGTCCCACCTTCTCAGAGCAGCCATGGAGCAAGGCAGCACAGCTGGTGGGAAGAGACCTTCCATTTAAAGGCAAAAATACCCAAATGGCTCTGTGGCACAGGTCGTTTCTAGTTCCATATTCGTCGGCCGGTACATGATCTCCTAACCTTAATTTCTTTTTCTCAAAGGGGCGGATTTGGACTGATGTGTTGAGCGTGATGTCCACTATCTAGTAAGTTGAGAGAGCGCGCGCAAGAGATTTCTGTGGCTACATGTAAACTTGTGAAGGGTCTGCAGACGAAGGGGGGAAGAGGGCGGTGAAGAGGTCAGCCAGGCATTTATGTGAAGGTCACCCCAGCTTCATTGTAGACCTTGAAGACCTTCTCAATGGCGTTGACGTAGGCGGCCGTTCTCAGATCCAAGCCCAGGTTGTACTTCATGGCCGTGCGCATGATTTGCTGGAAGGCAGGAGGAGACAGTGACATGGGCGTGAGTGCACGCCGAGCAGCCCCACCCCGAGGAGACCGCCCCTGCCTGGGCCCCTGCCTGGAGCTCGGTGTCCCTGGGACACGCTGCTAGAGGCAGCAAGCTCCCTGCTGGGCCCCGCGAGCATTCCACAGAGCTAAGGACAGGGTGCCCGTGCCTAGGCAGTCTTGTGAGGGTGCTTGGGGGTGTAGACTGTCTACTCTAAAAGGGTGAATGTAGGGTGTCAACTACTAGCTCGTTAAAAAGACCTAACAACAAGCACCACCAATAACGTCTGCCTGCGCGATTTCAACTTAAAGCCACACAGAATCTGAACAAGAAGAAATTAGGAAAACTGGACTCAAATTGTGTTTCAAGTCCTGAATTAAGGACCAAGCCACCCTTTGCCTACGCTCGTTCTCTGGCAAGGGAGACTCCTGAAGCCTGCAGGGCGACCCAGCTGGCCGGTGGCGGGGCCTGTGCTAACCGCCAAACCTCACGGTGGCCTAACCTGCAATTACCGGTTCCCCCCAGGCCCGGCAGGGAAGTGTATGAAGCCCCTGGAGACCCTGCCCGTCAGGGGCACCAGGCACCTACCCGGGCGGAGCGCTCCATGGTATAAGCTAGGCCAGAGTGCACGATGTCCTTCTCAGAGGCGCCCTAGGGGAGGAGCAGATGGTTAACATGGCCACACACACACACGCTCACCTGGGAGCGCAAGGATTGAGGTTGGCAAGCAGCCCTGCCCCGCGGCCCCTGGACGGCGGCTTCAGTGATGGCGGTGCGGCCACCGTTTACTCTTCATTCCATGCGACGGCAATACTCACCAAGAGGATCCTGGGGGGACGCTGCACGCTGGACGGTGGGGTGTGGGCCCAGGGCACAGAGGAGCCTGGCCTGCTCTTCCCGGGTTCTGCACTCAGCAGTGCCACCCACGCTGTGCCCGTCACCCCACCCAGGGGGGCTGGCCAGGGTCAAAGGCGGCGGCTGTGAGAGCTGGGCTGTTCCAACCCAGGGTACTCAACCACAGTAAGCTCGCCTGCTGCCAACTACTCCCATGATTCATTTGCTTCATCAGACTCCTCTAGGCAGTTGTTTCCAGCCCCACGTCAGCTATGAATCCTGCCACACCGGCTGGAAACTCAAAACAGGGTCACCCGCCAAAGGGGGTCCAAGCTGCCCTCCATCGCGAGCATTCGCGTCACGTCGGCGCGCACCTGTCAAGAGTGCCCGCGGGAGACTCTGTTCTGTCCTATCAAGTCACAGAGGAAACAAGGCGCTTCCCGGGTGGGGCACGGACTCCCGCTCATGCGCTCCTCATGGAACACTCATGGGGCCCGGCAAGGGGTTCCTCTAGGCCCGGGGGCAGAGGGATTGTCCTGTCCTCAGGGACCAGTGTCCCGGTGGGGGAGACAGCCAACACCCATGCCTGACGGAGGTCATCAGACCCCGACGTGATCCAGCGGCTGCGGCTTGGAGAGGAGGTGACGGAGTCACAGAGGGCAAACGGAAGGAATGGCTGCAGAAGGAGAGGCCCGAGAGGCTGTGGGGTCTTAGGAAGTGAGAGAAGAAAGGGATCCCGGAGGCGCCGTCGGCTGTGAGAACAGGTGCTGACCGGCACCGGGAGAGGACAGGAGGGTGCCGGGGGTCCGGGTGGGGGCGTCAGCAGAGGGGAGTGGAGGGGAGGGACCGCACGCAGGTGTACACGACTCTTAAGGGCGTTGCTATGAGAGAGACAAACACGAACAAAGTGAGGGAGACAAACACGAACAAAGTCGGGAAGGGGAACCAGGATTGAGGCTGTTTTTTTTTTTTTTTTTCCTGGAGATCTTATTTGTTTGAGAGACAGCAAGGGAGCGTAAGTTGGGGGGAGCCCAGGGGGAGACAGAGAAGCAGGCTCCCCGCTGAGCAGGGAGCCCAAGCAGGACTCGATCCTAGGACCCCACCATCATGACCTGAGCTGAAGGCAGACGCCCAGCTGAGCCCCCAGGGCCTGGACTGTTTTTGAGGCCGCACGGAGCACAGGACAGAAATGACTGCTGAGGTGGGACGGAAGGGACGGGGAGCCCCAGCCGCACACTTTGGGGACGTGAAAACAGGCCACTGGGGTTAGATGGAGGCATCCAGAGCCGCTCTGGGACCAGGAGACAGGGTGCAGGCGCCGGGAACCAGGGTGGGGGTGTCTCTGCCCAGAGTTCCTGGGGCAGGTACTCAGGGGGTGGCAGAGAGAAAGTGAAACAGGGAGAAGTGAAAGCTGGCCTGGCCGCGGACCTGAGATTCGGGTCGGGGCTGGGCAGTTAGCAGGGCCTCCTGCCCGTAGGGGACGGGCATATGGGGGCACGCTTGGGGTCGTCAGGTTTGGGTGTTAGCGGGGGGCATGTGGAGGCACAACAGGGCGAGGGAGGGGCTAATGATGGAACCCATGGTTTACATTAGACAAGGAGGGGACCAGGGACACATGGGGGGTGTCGGGGGGTTGCTGATGCAGGTCCTGGCAGGGCCACGGCAAGCCTGGGGAGCACGGAGCTAGACGGGGAGCTAGGGGAAGGCACTGGAAAGAGCCTGTGCTGTACACCCACACGCTAGGTCCCCTGCCAGCCACTGAGTCAGGGGTGAGGACAGCCCTGAAGCCCGACCTGAGGCACGTAGAGCGTCTGGAAACGGGGAGGCCCACACACCAGGCCAACGCTGGTTACAGAGGGTAGAGGAAGTCGGCCTCTTCCCGGGCTCCCGCCGGGGGCTCAGCCGGGGGCGGGGTGGGGCGGGCCGGCGCAGGGGGTCCCAGAAGGCCGGCTTACCAGGGCAGCGGCTAGCACCCAAGGACGCCCTGGCCCCAACGCCGTGCTGCCTACGGCACTGCCCATGACTGACGTTTCACACAGAGACAGGTTGATTATACTTGAGCCATTTCCCTGCAGGTGTATGTAGACTCTGAAATCAAACCTGATTTAAAAACCTGACAGTGAACACGTCCCCATGACGGCACCACGCGCGGAGCCATCCGGTCCTTCAGAAGGAGGTCCCAGAGGGGACGTTAGGGCAGCGTCCACGGGCAGGACTGAGAGCCCGTCACATCCCCCAAGAGCTGCGCCAGGCGTCCCGTCAGCAATAAAGGTCCAGTCTCACCACAGACACGGTGAGTAGAACATCCATTTATGGTTTTTGCTACTTTAATGCATTAAAGAAACCTTAATCTGTATTTAAGGTCTCTGCCATTTACGAGGAAGATGTTCTCTGTGACACAGGGGCACTAACTATTACTGTCCCGTCAGCTAACTCACTCCGATACCTTTTCTACCTGCTTCCTTTCATTCCTGTTCATGTCCACGAAGCAATTTCAATTCTTCATATAGTTCAATTTAATGTTTTCTTTGTTTCTGTAAAGCTTTTCTTTTCTTTTTTTTTAAGTTTATTTATTTTTTATTTTTAAGGGATCCCTTTTGCCAATGTGGAGCTCGAACTCACGACTCAGGGATCAAGAGTCACCTGTTCTTCCAACTGAGCCAGCCAGGCTCTCCTAATATTTACTTTTCAATTCTCTGAGGCTTAAGAGTTAGGATACACAGTAATTCTTCACAATTAGGTTAGAATCACCTGTTGAGCCATCTGTATTGCAAAAGTACCAAGAGCAGAAGAGCGATTATTTAAAACTAAAATCCTACTCCGTTTAGAATAATGAGAAAGGCATGTGCAGAGCACACACAGGTCCCATCATCACCGCCGGCTGCTGACCCCCTGCGACCCTCATCCACCTGCCCAGGGCTAAGGACCAGGCGCGTGCACACACGTGTGTGTATGGGGGGGCAGCCCGCCACAGCGCACTCACCGATATCCTGTCTTGGAATTCTGCTGTGGGCACAACGGGAATAGTTCCACCATGCTTTCCAAATTTCCTTTCCAAGCTCTCTTGAACAGACACTGCAGAAAGCCGAGAGGTGAAGTTAAAATACTGCTAGTAGAAAAAAAAAAAAAAAAAAAAAAAAAGAAGTAGAACCAAAAGTAGTCTCCAACTATATCCATGACCCAGAAACCACCACAGAGTTTAGAAGCCTTCAACACTAATGCCGTGAACAGGTTAATCATTTAGAACTCTGCCAAATTCCTATATAAATGTGAATTTAGGTCAGTGCTCTGTTTCCATAACACCCATTACCAGGGTTTTTCCTTGGCTCTGTGAAAAAGAAAATACTGAGGGAAAAAGAAACGGAAATGGATGGAACACTTCACCCAGATTCTCAGAGTGGGCTCAGTGAAGCTCGGCTGGAGGTCTGGCCTTACTTCAGCGGGACGAGATTGGCCCATTAACTCTGGAGCCTACTCTAGGCAAAGAAAAGCCACATTCTCATCAGGAGACTCCAAAAATTCTTGGACACTAGAAAGGCCTCCACTAAGAGCAGAGATAGGAATGGAGGAGTACCAGTGAGCGCCTGGCTTAAAAGGATATTCTATTTACTAATTTATAGATTATGTTCAGAGAACATTACAGCACAGAACCAACATCTGGGTGCAAATACATTTGAAAGAGTAAGTTAAATATCCATGAAAAAACTCATATACTTTTGGTCCTCAGGCTCATGAGACAGAATAATATAATTTTCTGTTCTGAGAGTAAATTCTCTGGGATTAAAAAAGGAAACTAGTCCTTTCTAAGTGTAAGCTTCTTCCAGACTTTTAGCTGGCCCCCAAGATTTTTTGGACAAGGTCATCGGAACTCACTGAGCAAGTGGTAGTTAGAATCCCTTTCATATTTGAAGGTCAAACGGCCATAGCTGACGTGATTCAGATTCTTCAGCCACTCAAAGTAAGACACTGTCACTCCTCCAGCATTCAAGTAGAGGTCCTAGGCACAAAAATGTGACAGGGAAGACACCAAAGAAATGAGAAAATCATGGTTTTAATAAACGCTTTCAATGAACATCAGAGCTCCATTTTTATATTAAGGCAAATAGATTATACTTTAAACTCCCCAAATAGATCTTAGATTGCATCAGGGATTTCACACTTAAAATTTAACAAATGTCTTTTCCAATCCACTTGAGTTTTTTTCCATTTTGAAAAAAAAAATAACTTTTTTTTATTGACTAACAAGTATTTGATCAATTTTGGTTAGAGCTTCTCTACCAAAAAAATCTTGAGACAAAATTGCTTGCCCACTAACCGCAGAACTGGATTGTCCACAGCGCCCCTCAGGAGAAGATCAGCATTCCTTTTCCTACTATCTAGGGGCAGTCTGTTTCAGTTGAAATGAATCTCTTAAATGTTTTCTTTTTTTTTCTTTTTTGTTAAATATTTATTATTTATGATAGTCACAGAGAGAGAGAGAGAGGCAGAGACACAGGCAGAGGGAGAAGCAGGCTCCATGCACCGGGAGCCCGACGTGGGATTTGATCCCGGGTCTCCAGGATTGTGCCCTTGGCCAAAGGCAGGCGCCAAACCGCTGCGCCACCCAGGGATCCCCTCTTAAATGTTTTCAACAAAAGTTCTTTTTTTTTTTTTTTAAACAAAAGTTCTAAATGTGTCACAAATCCACACTAACTTCCACTTGCAAATAATCCTTGGTATAGAACCCATGCTTGTCCACTGATAACCCAGGCACACATTCTTCATAGGAGTAAAGAGGCAAGGGACATTTGAAATGCATAAGGTTAGAAATTACACAGAAGCTTCTGAGTTTAACTGGAACTCATATTTCTAGCACAATATACATTTATAGAATTGGATTATTAAACAGGCTAAATACATAATCAAGAAAGAGCTTAAAGTTGGAAAATAATGTTCAGGTCAAGGTGAAAATTGTCAGGTTTTTTTTACACTAACCATGCTTCTACTGCATTTTCTTAAAAGCAAATAAAGGTGAAGGATTTACTACAGTTTGGGAAATTAATGATTATCTCTTTCTCTCTCATTCCTTATAGAAGAGGATTCCAAGTACATATAAAACACAGATGACTTACTGGAATCACCATGATGTTCCTCTCCAGGAAGATCTTATCAGCCTCTGGGGTTGTTGGTCCATTGGCACCCTCAGCAATGATCTGCAAGAGAGCCAGGACATACAGAAATGCCAGCAGTGCCATCGAAACCCTACACCAGGTGCAAGGGGCAATGGGGAGAAGAAGTCCAGTTTAAATTAAATTAGTAAGAAGTCTTTTGTTCTATAAAGTATATAAAACCCTTCTATTTCCCTAACCACTTTTTGGAAGTTTGGTTTAAGAGGAAACCCGTGGTGATGGATGGCTGCACTGCTTTGTGTATACACAAAAAGCCACTAAATTTTACGCTTGGGTGAACTGTATGGTATTTGAATTATAGCTCAACAAAGCAGTTAAAAAAAGAGAAAAGCCAATTGAGAGCTTTTCTATGACCCTCACGGTCATTCCACACTGGTACCAAGCTCTCACCTTGGCTTTGACTCTGGGTGCGTTGGACTTGGTCAGCTGCTTCTCGCTAGCAGCGGGGATCAGGATGTCACAATCAGCTTCCAAGATGCTCCCTTCATAGGGCTTTGCCTTGGGGAAGCCCAGGATTGATCCATGTTGCTGAGAATTGATTGAGAAGTCAGAATGAATGGCTGCACTGCAGTTTCAGTGTTTACAATTAGTGCCCATGATAGGAAGACTCATCTATTAAGAGCAAATCTTTGGGTTGCATTTTAAAAAATTAACAAGGGGTAGTCACAGTTCAGACTTTAGATTAACATACCAATTTGAAGTCTTCCAGTTCCTTTGGGTCAATACCATCTGGATTCCATATGCTCCCATCAGATTCACCAACACCAACACATTTAGCACCAAAACGATGTAAGTATCTCATAGAGTGCAGGCCCACGTTACCAAATCCCTAGACAGAACAATTACACAGTGTAGACGGAAGAGTCATATTCTGACCAAGACACATTCTATCAGTTTAGAAGTCATTCTCAAGATCCTTTTGTCACAAGAAACAATGTACTGAATGGCTTCTCTTCAGCAATAAATGTCCCATGTGGAATCCCATCTTCTGTTATCTGTGATAGTGAGTCCTAAAGAAGTTTAGGTTGGTTGACTTATAAAAGAGCCAGTCATGCCACCCATGTCCTCAGTCCCTTGGACCAGATGCCTTATGTCACACCCTGGGAGGAATAGGAGTTCTATTCTATTTTAAAGTACCATTCAGTTCCTCTGTGTCATTTTCTTTTGCATGCATTTTTTAAAAAATATGAGGGAGCTAGAACATCTTTAAATGTGTAAGCACCATTTTTATTTCTACTCCTGTGAGAATTATCTGTTCATTTCACTAACCTGTTTTTCCCTGGAGTTATTTGCTCTTTTTCTCCTCAGTTTTTACATGCTGTTTATGAGTGTTGAAACTTTTCAGTAGAATAAGTTGGAAACTTTAAGTTTGTCTTTTTACATTGTTTATACTGATTTTTCTTAGGTAAAAGATCTTTTTGAATTTTGATATAGGCAAATTCATGAATCTTTTCTCTTTCTGGTATATGTTTTTGGATATTACTGGAATATTGTCCATTTCAAATGGTTTCATATAGGTTTTCAAATTTATTTGCATGGAATGGTACAAAGTAGTCTTACACATTTTTCTACATTTCCTTTGGGAAAAACAAAGTACCATTCAACTTAATTTATATTCTACTCTGTAAAAGAACCAAATACCAAAGAAATTCTTCCTGAAAGTTGAAATCTGGATCATTGTGCAAACGTTTCCCCTTCTGAAAACAACTTCAATTTAAATACTGACCAAAAGAAGTTGGTGATAGTTTCATACGTATCTGTGAGGTACTGAAAGTGGTTCTAGTCACATGAATCTAGTCATCAAGATTTAGAAATTAAAGCATGTATTACTCCGGAAACATCCATCCTAATAGTTACAGAGATTCAAAAGAATGACATTTAAAAATTGCAAATCTAAAAACACTGAAAAACTTACTCTATGTATATCAGTTATTCTTCAAGAGAGCAAACATTTTTACCTGAACAACAAACGTTTTATCTCCAAACCCTGGTGTCATTCCTAAAATACTCATGTAAGATGCTTCATTGATGAAATTTTCAATCCCATGGAAGACTCCCCGGCCAGTTGCAGAGATCCGCCCGTGGATCCCACCCTGACTGATGGGCTTACCGGTAACACAGGCATGGGCATTAATATCCTGCAAGAAAAAGTCAAAACTTTACATTTTTGTCTATTTTGCTTATGAGGACCATATACACCTTCACCAATAGGGACATGCCTCACTTTTTAAATTTCTGTTCCTAGAAAAAAATATAATAAAATAGATCATATTTTCATGGGGTGCCTGGGTGGTTCGGTGGGTTAAGTTTAAGTCTGCCTTCAGCTCAGGTCATGATCCCAGGGTCTTGGGATCAAGCCCTGTGTGGGCTCCCTGCTCAGTGGGAGTTGGCTTCTCCCTCTCCCCGCTAGTGCGCTCTCTCTCAAAAACAAAACAAAAAACAAAAAATCATTATCTTCCAACAGGAGAAATAGTTTTTAGGAACTTAACATTATTAAGTACAAATAACAGTGTCACAAAAGTAGAGATAGTTCCGTTTACAACTATTATTCCTTCAAAAGTACTTACGGCTTATTAAGTTGGATATACATCCTACGTGTGTCTTAAAACCTACCATAAACTTGAACATGTCATCAAAACAGAGCCTAAGTAGGAAGAGGTATCATGGTAGTTCTGGTTAGATGAGAAGATTCCACATTGTAAAGATACTCTCCCACCAAACTAATCTAGAAATTCAATAAAATGCTACTTTATTTATTTTTTAAATATTTTATTTATTTATGCATGATAAAGAGAGAGAGAGCGAGAGAGAGACAGGCGCAGAGACCCAGGCAGAGGGAGAAGCAGGCTCCATGCTGGGAGCCCGATGTGGGACTTGATCCCGGGACTCCAAGACCACACCCTGGGCCAAAGGCAGGTGCTAAACCACTGAACCACCCAGGGATCCCCTAAATGCTACTTTAAAAGATAATATTCAAATTTCAACTAAAGGAATAGATTAACAAAAGTATTCAAGAAATTTGGAAAAAAAAAAAAAGACAAAATAATTAAAGGGTTTGCAGGGCAATCTGGAATGCCTACCAAAATAAAAATACCTAGTAATCCAAAGATTCTACTTCTAGGAACTTAAATTTTTTGTGTATTTGGTATGGTATCATTTGAGTTAGGAAAATACAAAGGTACATGTGGGTGAGACAGATAGGCTCCTGTGCGAGTGTGAGTGGAGGACCCCTGGAAGCAAATGCCAGCTCCGGGGGCAGGGTGGGGGAGTAACAGTCTTTACCATCTGTCCTTCTGTACTCTGTGAAGTGACCATGTATTCTTGCTCAGAAACTGTAATTAGAAGAAAGAAAGGGCTTGGGAGAACTTCCCTTCCAGGTATATCCATAAATGTAGCCACCAGAACAATGTAGAATAATAGACTGGTCAGTGGGGCAGGAAAAATAGATGGCCCTATTATACACAGGAAATCAACATAAAAAGAAGGAAGCATTTTACATTTGTGGATAAATTATGGACTATTTAATAAATTTGTGGGGCAATCTGCTACCCACTAAGGAAGACGCAATGACTTACTTCACACTCTCCCTGCCCCCGAATAGATGTAGCTGGGTGAGTTAACAAGTAACCTGGTCTTTATCTGTAGTGTTTAACTATTTTTTTTAAGGTTTTTTTTTTTTTGTGTGTGTGTGTTTAACTGTTTTTACAGAGACAACTTAGAATTGTATTAGCTGTAAATCGCCGACAAAAAAAGAATAAAAGTTAAAAAAAGAAGGCAGTCCAGTAAAGTGATTTACAGAAATTAGTCAATTTTCCCACAGTTCCCTTCATGAATAATTAACACTTGTGTGAACGCAGAATTGCAAACCTAGAGCCAAATGCTTTTACACAGTGCAAATGTGAATGCCGGAGCCGCTAGCAACCCCGTCTGAGGTCAGGCCCGGTGCCAGGTGCCCAGCGCCCAGCACACCTGATTGTCCCAGAAGCCCAGGGACCACACACCCTCACTCTGCGGCCTGCACTTCTGGGCAGATTACACAAAAGCTGAGGCAGGTTTAGGTTTACATCTGAAATGAGTAAGAAAAACAGTAGCTTCCTGACCTTAGGCCCTAATTTTGGATTTCCTATCACTTTAAGAAGGGAAGCCCTTTGCCAGGTTTAGCTGGCAGTGCCTCACAAAACTTTCTTTTGTGGTCACCCCTGGCAGTAAGCTATGAATAATGAATGTGGTGTCTACTACTTGGCACTAAGCAGTCTAGTGTCTTGTTTAAAAACAGAGACCATAATTTGGAGCTCATTTAATATCAAAAGGGGACATGGAAAAAGCATCATTTTGGGGAATGGCAGTTAAAACCAAAATTCTCTGAAGCATCTCATACTACTCGTTTTATTTCAGGGAATTTTCGCAATTTACCAATTTAATATTTATGAATACTTGTTGTCTGGTGTGTTTTACTAAGGAGTGGGTACTATTATTTTTTTAAAAAAAGATTTAATTTATTTATTTGAAAAAGAGAGAGACAGTGAGAGGTAACATAAGCAGGCAGGGGGAGAGGGAGAAGCAAGCTCCTGGTGAGCGTGGAAGCCAGACGTGGGGCCCGAATGCCAGGACCCAGGAATCATGACCTGAACTGAAGGCAGGTGCTTAACTGACTGAGCCCCCCAGGTGCTCCAGGAGTGGGTACTATTCTGAGTGCATTATATTTTATTATTCAATTAATCATTAGGAGCTATTGCTATTGTCATCTTATATACGGGAAATGGAAGCATAGGGTGCTCAAAGGCCTGCCACAAGCCATGGAGCTGGTGTGTAAGGGAGCCAGTTCTGAATCCAGGTGGCCTGCTCACGCTCCCAACCACAGTCTGCACCCTCTTAGGTCCTCAGACTAATGTCTGAGCTCCTCTACTGCAAGTTGCAGCCCCCTTCCTTCTCTGGGAGCAAGAGTTCTCCTCTCCAGGGCTCATCTTGCCACTAGGGCCTCCCCCCAACTTTTTAAAAAAGGTTTTGAGACGGAGAGAGAAAGAGACAGAGGGAGCAAGGAGAGAGAAGGAGAGCGAAAATCTTAAGCAGACTCTGCACCGAGCTTGGAGTGTGACATGGAACTTGATTTCAAGACCAAGATCATGACCAGAGCCAAAACCAAGAATTAGATGCTTAACCGAATGTGTCACCCAGGCGCCCCTCCCCCAGGGCCCTTTAAAGGAAAATTCATGAGGCCTTTATTCCCTTGGAGGACTCTGCTACCTCCGCTGTCTGTCTCTCTTGCATCATCTCCTTCAAGGATGAATGTGGAGCCCACAGACAGACAACTGCCAACCACCCCTGTCCTTGGGCAGCAGGCACCTGTCTCGTTTCTGCTCTGCGGCCCAGCGCCATTCCTCTCTGTGAAGGCTACTCCTTGTGCCCCATTTCCCTCCTTCAACTGCTCCTTGCAGCCTGGTTCCACTTTCTGTCCCCCAGATGGATGATCTAGTTGCTGAACTCATTTCTTCCCAAACACGGCTCCCTCAACGAGGCATGTGGAGCTCCTCGCCCTCCTCCTTCTTCGGCAACTGACCACCTTCCCTCTAAATCCCTCTTCCTTGGGACTCCTGGGTGGCTCAGCGGTTGAGCACCTGCCTTCCACCCAGGGTGAGATCCCGGAGTTCCAGAATCGAGTCTCACATTGGGCTCCCGGCATGGAGCCTGCTTCTCTGTCTCTCATGAATAAATAATCAAATCAAATCAAATCAGATCAATCAATCCATCCATCCCTCTCCCATTTGTCCATTTGTCTCCAGCTCTACCGCAGGCCAGGGTCCCCCGTCTCCTGGGCTCCTGTATGGTCCTGCCCCCAACAGTCCCATTCCCCGCTGCACACAGTGAAGGTCAAAATGCCCCATGCCTGCTTCTAGTTAGCACTCCACCAGCGTCCTTCTGTTTTTAAGGCAAAGACTTTGGTCCTATGATCTGGTCCGATTCTCCTCTAAGGGGCCTCTCTTAGACTCTACTCTCTGGATTTCCACTCTGACTACCCCAGTCTTCCCTCAGCCTCAAGTTCACTTCTGCACCCCAGAACTTTACCCAATGGTTCCTTCTGCCTCCAACACTCACAGCCCCGTCCCTTCCGCAAGTGATCCTATTCATCAGAGTGCAGACCAGAGCTTACTCCTTCAAGGAGGCCTCCTCTGACCTCACCTGTGGAGGCTTGGCCGGGCCCTGTTATGCCTTGTCCCAGCATCAGGACTCCCTGTGCTCCCAATTATCCCAACTGTACTGAATACCTTGCTTGTCTGGCAGAGGCTCGCTCTATCTATCTATCTATCTATCTATCTATCTATCTATCTATCATCTATCTTTTATTATTTCATATTTTATTTTATTTTATTTTTTCATGAGAGACACACAGAGAGAAGCAGAGACACAGGCAGAGGGAGAAGCAGGCTCCATGCAGGGGGCCTGAAGTGAGACTCGATCTCGGGACCCCGGGGTCACACCCTGGGCTGAAGGCAGCGCTAAACCGCTGAGCCACCCGGGCTGCCCATAGATACATTTTTAATGAATGTCTTTTCAACTCCCTATCTCTTCCTACTCCTTAAATGTTTTTCAAGGTTCCATCCCTTTCAAGAATAGAAAGTTCGTTTTTCTCGTGTTCTGTATTAGTGGCACTACTTCTGCTTGGTCTCTCAGACCCAAGTCCTCCTGGTTGTTTTCCTTGATAACACATCCAACTCCAGTCCTATGGAGTCTCTGTCAGGCGCCAACGCCTCTCCCCAGGCCTCGTGGCCCTGGGCTCCAGTGCAGTCTAACAGCACCAGCCCAGGCTCCTTGAAGAAAGGGGCAGTGCCAGAGCCTCTCCTCTCACTAGCAAAACTAGGGCTTGAGATTTTTGTCCTGGTTCATGTACTTCTTTGCTCTCCTAGTACACTTCTAAATAGGCCTCATCTCCATGTATTATCCTATCTCCATACCTTATTTATCTGCTTATGTGTCTTAGTTCCTCTTTAAATGAAAGCTCTTTGCGGGAAGTCAGAATTGAAGCCTTCTTCATTTCCCTTCTAGTGTTTTACACCATGTCCTGCCCTGCCTGGTAGATGATCGTTTCTGAGGTCCCATCCCGCTTTCAGGATGGGGTGGCATGTAAGTGAAAGCTCAGTTCATGTTCACGCTACATTTATAGTTTACGACTAGAGAGATGGAAGTAAAATAATGTGCAAATCAAGATACGATTAAAGGGCAGAAGAACCCAGCAAATTCTCTCCATCCACATAATATCAGTTTGTTATTTCTTGTAGACAGCAAATGAGGATCTCAGGGCTTTGAGTGGGTACTTACATAGTGCCCTATGGTGCTGGCGTAGGTGTCAGCAATCCAGGACATCTCCCGCTCACCTGTGCTCATGTCTGGGGCAGGCACATCAATGCCAGGACCTGGGGGCACAAGGAAAGGGCATTGTACTAGCTTTTAAGATGAACTCATCTCAAACACATAAATCCTTGTAATTTTTTACAACAAAGCTACTGTGGTTAGAAAACATTAGATTTCATCTGGGTAACTACTTGAAGTCATAGAAATACTCGTTAAATGCATCACGACAAAATTTACACACACACAAATGTTATATGGGTAATTTTTCCCTCTGGCGTTGCCTTGAGATATTGTTCGGAAGTCAGTTCTGCTAACAGACAGAAGCCACTCAACTGGACTTCTGAATACATGAGCATAGGCACCTCGGTGTGTCCCTCTTGACCTCAGCTCCTTGAACTACATACAACCAGAGAGAACAGTACCATCCTGCCTACAGAAGGACAAGTGCTGTGCTTGGGGAGTGTTTGTGTCTGAGGCAGCACAGAACCATACCGTTTATGGGGGTGTAAGCCCTCCCCATCAAGTAGAAAAATAAAAAAAATACACATTGCTGAAGCATTTGTGTTAAGGCCCATAATTTCACCCGGGCTTTGACCTGTTATTCAAAGCTTCCTCAATGTACATAAAGTTTTAGGCCTCAGCTTTCAATTGCTCAGATCACAGCAGATTAGAAAGTTTGAGGATAAGAAGTTACTCCACGGCAGCAACAAATGCCAGTGTCAGCGCTAATACTGATGGCCACATCAAGATCTGGTAAAGATGCGCTATTATTATTTTTTAATATTTTATTTATTTATTCATGAGAGAGAGAGAGAGAGAGGGAGGGAGGCAGAGACACAGGCAGAGGGAGAAGCAGGCTCCATGCAGGGAGCCTGATGTGGGACTCGATCCCAGGATCACGACCTGACCCAAAGGCAGGCTCAACCACTGAGCCACCCAGGTGCCCCTAAAGATGTGTTAAATGATGTCCACTCAAATCTGTCAAGGGAGGGATACAAATACATATAAAATACAAAAACATCCCATTTAGTGGGTCAATTAAATAAGAATGCTGTATCTACATAAAGAGATACTATGCAGCCAGTAAAAAGCTTGTAGTCCTCACCAAAACACATTACGTGGGGGAAAGAAAGCAGGATTTGTATAGCATGTATAGAGGTTCCATTTACATAAAATTCTCTCTCTCTCTGGACAGGCCTGTGTATAGTCTCCATGCATTTATTTCCACCTGTATATGTAGTATGTGTGCACAGGTTTGGAAGGATATGGATACCTCACACTTGCTCACGATGTTTCTTTCCACTTCGGCCTTGTTTATAACTTTCTGTATTCTTTCAGTTAACTAATATAAACCCATTAACGTTTCAGAAAAATAGAACTTTAAAAATGATTCAGCTATGAAGTCTCCCACAGAGAAGTTCTTTCTAAGTACTCAAGTTCTGTATTTTTTTACTTAACCAACTGAATAACATATGCTTTAATATTGTCCTGTACTTTTGGGGCCCACGTCCAAGGAGGTGTGTTTCTCTGCACAGGCTGTGATGCAATGGCTACATAACTGGTCCTAGACAACTTGGAAATGGTCAAGCTTTTCACGCTCCCACCCGGCCCACAGCCAATCTGTCATTCTCTTGTATCTGAGCACCCTTTCTCTTAGGCAGTTTCTAACTCTCATGAAGTCTGACTTCCCGCAAATCACTCTACCCCTAACTCTCCTCCTTGGACGGACTCACGCCCTATTCTAGTCTTATCCTCTGTAAAAGGGGCTCTACTCTTCTCATTTGCTCACAATGTCCATTCCTTGAGAGCAAGACCTCAAGGACATTTGTAAAGATTTGTTTGATCGGATTTGCTTTTCTCCAAAGGTGTAAATGATAAACTGCTCCTGAATGCAAGGGGGATCTACAAACGTTTTTTAGTAGTATCAAGTGTCAAGTATCGTCAGATCACGATTTCAAGTGGAGAAGGGCTATTGGCAAGGGGCAAGTTTGAGGTACGCAGTTTGTAAACTGGAAATGTACCATGATAAATTCTGAGGCTTCTCAAAAACCTCAATTCATCTAGATGGCCTAAGATGAGACAGCGCTCCCTGTCCAAAGCCGAAATCACAAAATATTATTAGGCTTATGAGTTTTCTACTCCACATAAAATCAATGGACAGCAATGCTCGGATTATAAGCAAAACCTGAATTACAGAAAAATACTCAAATATTTTAACAGAGAACAGGTCTGAACATCCACACTTTGTAAAACAGGTACATAACCTTGGGAAAGCTAAAATGCCATCAGTCAATCCCACAATAGTATAAAAAAGATGAAAAATGACTAAAGAGCACAGCTGCTTTAACAGAACATGAGCACAGGGTGGAGCTGAAAGGCCAATTTTGGTGCAGGGAAATCTGAGAAAATTATAAAGAAATGGAGACATTGGATTACCAAGGGAACTTTACAGTTTACAAAGGTGGTATCTAAACTCACACAACAGAATAAACACCAAGCTTTCACAAGCTTAAAAAAAATAAAAAAGACACTAGAGGAAAGAACACTTCCTAACTCTTTCTCTGAGGCCAGTATTATCCTGGTATCAGGGCCTCACAGGAAGAGAATACTATAGACCGATATCCCTTAGAACGGCATAAAAAAAAAAGTTCTTATGAATAAATGTAACAGAGGTAGTGTAAGATCTGTGCTGAAAACCAGGGACCATCAGGGAAGGAAGGTAAAGGAGAATGACAACCGGGAGGACATTCAGTATTCGGGGACTGGAGCACTAGCCAGGTAGGATGGCTTCCCTCCACACTGGGCTGCAGAGCCACTGCAATCCTTAGTAAAAGCCCAGCTGACTTCTTTGCAGAAAATGAAAAGCTTTTCCTAAAGGCATAGGATGTGCCTGGGCCAGGACTCAGGCCCACATCCAACTCACAGTCTGAAACTCTGTGGAAAGACAAGTCAGTAAGTAAGGGAGAAATAAATGACCTCAGTTGCAGAGGTTTACTCAGGACCAGTTCTGGGCCCTGGAGGGAGAGAAAGGATCCCCCCTCCCCCCCAGATGCTACAAAGCTTTCTGAGCCCAGGTGTCAGGTTAGCTGCATTGTGAGTCAATGAGGTTTTTGTGCTTCAACAAAGAAGTCAAATTGCAGTATTTAGGCTTTCACTGTTTCCAGGAATCACTTTTAACCCCTGGAATCCCAAGGTACTTGTGAATACAGAGAAAATGAAGCTGGTTATACTCTAGGTATGGGCAATAAATACCGAATAAAGTCTGAAGTGACTCAAGACTATTAAACACGTTGCGATTGAAGCTAAGAGAAAAATCATGAGGCTCTCTAGGCTGAACATGACTGCAGTTCACCAAATCTCAGCAGTAGTAGGCACCCCCCCCCCCCCCCCCCCCGTTCTGACAGGACAGATTCACAGCAGTGCTGAGGAGGCATGCCAAGAATTCAAATGCCTGTGAAATGATGAACAACAGACCAAATCTGGTCAAGTTCTAGTGCTACTTATATTGATTTCTGTATTATTTCATGCTCTTTTTTTTCCTATGAAGAGGGCAAATTTCAAAGGAAGCATATCTTAAGTTCATAGGAATTAACAGTGGGGAGAATGTTGGGGAAGAAAAACACAGGGGCAGGAAAACAGAAAGTAGATTTTCTTTCTTATTTTAGTCAGTTTTTTTTATGTTACAAGGGCAAACATTCTGTTAAATACTTTTATGTTATAAAAACAAATTAGAATCCTTCTAGAACAAAAAAGAAATATACAGGCTTCATTTGCTTGAAAAACTGACTAAATGAGTATTTATACATCATACTAAATATTCACATCTCACACAAAACATACAACACAGGCGACACTTAATGCAAAAACATCAAGCCTTTGAAGATCAGCACCCTTAGAAATCTAGTGTTTGGCAAAAGGGCCTCGTGACAAATATCAGGAACCCCCGGGGACCCTCAAGACCTGCCAGGGAGGGCAGATGGAGTCATCAGGGTGAGCCCCTCACCTCCCAGCCTGTGCCCACTGCTCTGAAGGGGCAGCTTGCTCTAGGCTCTTGTTCCAAAAGGCAGCAGATTTCTCACTGCTTGCAGAACAGACTATCGTAAAAGTGACTATTACATATTAAAAAAAATATTTATAAAACAGGTATTATTTATTCCCTAAAATCTTTCTGGATATCGCAATAGAGATTGTCCAAGCAGAAGAGGTGGAAGCGATCCCCCTGGTGTCCACACTGCATACCGAGAACCTGAGCTTTTCTACGTGAGACCTACCAAAACAGGCCCAAAGTATGTCCACCGTATCTATCACAGAACCCAGTTTTTCAAAGTAAAGGGGCAATTCTACCCATGTGCATACAGATAAAAACAGGAGTTTAACTTAAGAAAATTGCCTTTTAGATGTTCCTACTCCGTGCTCAAGCCTACAAGGGAATACATACCAATAAAGCCCTTCTTTGCCAGCTCCATGGTAAACCTCCTTGTGATCTTTTCCAATTCATTATCCTATAAAGGAAACAAATGAAAACAAAACAAGGAAACAAATGTTTTTGATAGAAAACCACTGGTGGAGATAAGTGATAATTGCCTCATATTTTCTATTTATAGGACATTTTCATATATCTTCTTGTGTAATCCTTACAACTTATAAAGCAGGCATTTCCATTTTGAAGATAAGAAAATGATAGATCAGAAATTAGGTTACACAAACAACAAACAGTAGAACTAAGGCTCAAATCCACTTCCTGTTCTCTTTGTATTAATATAGGACCCTAAGAATAATCCCTATGGTACATTTTCATTTAAATAGTTAAAAAAAAAGAATGAAATCATTCATATATATAATGTTTGTAACACATGTTAATTCAGAGCTATAAAGCATAGTAACAGCTAGCTTAAATTAACTTGGAATTGATAGGATAAACAAGATTTTTACTAAATTAGGCTGTCACTAGGTTCTGAGATGCCAAGAGTCGCAGATCATAGGAACATGTTAAAGGCATATAGGACATATTATATTTATATTATAGACTATGTAACATGGATGGATATAAATGCCCTAAGAATATGAAGATGTTAATTACCTTTTAACCAAGTGTAAAAATGAAAAAGGACATTGATGTTAAGCAGGTGACCTTTATATGGCACCACACTCAGTGAGTTAATTATTTACTTGTTTTTCCATTCCTTTAAAATAGGGGCCATTAATCTCACTGGTATGGGGGACACATAGAAGCCCTGTAATTTCAAGTCCTTTATGAATGCACCATGTGCACAAATGTCATTTTGATACTTACAGTGTAGTTTTTGGGATTGATCTTAACACCAGCCTTGGCACCCCCAAATGGCACATCTGCAAGAGAAGGCTGCAAGTTGTTATTCCATACAAAGGATAAACACATTCTGGAGGCAGAAAGCACTATGTGATATTACAATAATTCAAACGTGACTCTTCAAGATTTAGTTTCAGAAAATTCAAGAAATAAACATTGATCAACACTGATCTTTTCTATAATGTCCTTGAACTAAAATTCTAGTGGAACAGAAATTGTAAGGCTGGGCAAATTATGCATATTTAATCAGTGTGCTTTACTTCTAAAAGAAAAAAAAATACTTATTTTCCTTCTACTATGATTTGGTCTTACAGAGTATGGAAAAGCAGTTAAAAAAAACCTACACTTAAAATCCAATTAGTTCCCATAAAAATTTTTCCATTAAAAAACAGATTAAATCTTAATTAAGACTAATTGAAAAATTATGTAAGCATTAAACTGTGCAATTTAAATAACATCCTAAAGGTATCCTGGTATGTTAACATATTTCCCCAAAGCATTTTCAGGCAGCAACAAAGGAGATCACTTACCAACCACTGCACACTTGTAGGTCATCAGAGAAGCCAGAGCTTTCACTTCGTCCACACTCACATCAGTGCTGTAACGGATACCTGCGGGGCGGGGGAGGGGGGTGAGAAAAGGGGATGTATTTATAACATCCTTTGGGCTGGTTAAAAGAAAAAGTGCTAGAAATGGAAATGCCCACACTTTTTGCATTTTACACCCTGTTTTTTTCCAAGAACACTTCAAGTGGCTTGTGATACAAGCAAGTCAAGGAAAATCTGCTAATTGGACACCTAGCACCTTGTACGGGCTACAGGAGGAATACTGATTTTGATTTTTAAGTATTCTGGTGGTTAAGAGAAAAAGACAGGGATGGGAGTGCAGTTTTTGCATTCTGGTGGGAGCAGTTAAGAGCACCAAGCAAGGTTCCTGGAGATGAAGAGATGAGCCACAGTCCTGTCCTTCAGGAACGTACAGCCCAGTGGCAGACAGCAGGAACTATGGCTTCACGAGATAAAAAAAATCCTTCAAATGGAATTTTTTATGCTTTGAGGAAGGCAACTAACTCAGTGAAGGCTTTTTTCTTTTACTTTTTGGCTTGGATGATTTGGTAGCAGGGAGTTCAAAAAATTTAGATTAGAAATGACAGTTTTCTTAAAAGGTCTAGCAGTTATATTTATCTGTTGCCATAGAGCTTGCTTCCCTGTTTTGTTCAGGCCTCTATTAGAACTTTCTTCACTCCACGAGGCCCTACCTGACCACATTCTTTAAAAAAGCACCTTCCCCAACCCCACTCTCTAGCCCCATTTACCTTAATGTTTTACTGCTGACTTTATACTGTTTACTGTCTTGACTTCCCCACCTGGGAAGCTAGCTCAAGAGGACAGACTTTATTTTGTGCACTGCTTTAACTTAAATCTTGGTACCTAACATAGAAAATGGCATGCATGTATTAGGTGCCCAAATGTGTGGTGAATAAATATATCATTATTTCTTGACTAAGGCATTAAGGCAGAAAAGCCATGGTCACTAAAAATTCTGATAAGCCTCTAGGTTGTACACAATTCACCGGAAGTGTCTGCATATATTATGGAAGGGCTGGAAAGTAGTTAAGAGGCAGAAAATTCAGGTCCTAAAAGTACTCCAGAAAAAAAAAATCTGTAAGCAATAAAGAACATTTGTTTATTATTTTTAAAAAAGGCTTTTATTTATTTATTCACGACAGACACAGAGAGAGAGGCAGTGACACAGGCAGAGGGAAAAGCAGGTTCCCTGAGGGGAGCCCGATGTGGGACTTGATCCCGGGACCTGGGGTCACGACCTGGGCTGAAGGCAGACGCTCCACCACTGAGCCACCCAGGCATCTCTACATTTATTTCTTTAAATAAAAAAATTTGTTTAAACACTACAATGTGTTTTTAAAATCAGTAAAAATGTTAACTATGTAACATGGCATATGACTCAGTGGAAACCAGGCTACTAGGCTGGGACCTGGGCTGGGTGCAGGGAAGGGCACTGCTCACCTGGGGGCACAGACCTGTGCCCAGGGTCTGAATCAAGCCTGCACAGAACAGTGCTCGTGAGGCAGCCGGCACGGTGCCTGCATGGGGCCAGTGCTTCCATCTGCCATTATCACGGCTACTGCAAGTATTACTGAGTACAGGCAGATAAAGAAATTCAGGTTTTAAAAAGTTTAAACTGATAGAGGAGTTTAAACAAACAGCTTAATAAATCTTGATTTCATTACCTCTCAAGATGAATGAGGGCAGTAAAACAGTCCGCTATTAAGGATTAGTATTTCTCCTACAACACACACAAAGCAGTTTTTTCATTGCTCTTTTAGTGCCTGTGGAAGCAGTTGCTAAGTTATTTTAATTTCCCTTGCTTTCTTTCAAAAAAAAAAATCACACCAGTTTCAGGTGTAGCATACACAGTGACTGGACAATTCTATATACTATACTATGCTCACAAGTGTAGCTACCACTTTCCTTGCTTTCTTAAGGGCAGGGAGAAGTTATTTTCCCTTATCCAATGCTTAAATCTAATGCATTCAGTGGGAAACTAAACACAGCTTGAAGAGTAACATTCACGAATCCGAGAGTAATCCTATTATTCTAGACTTTAATGCTAGTTAGAAACTGGACTCTTCGTTGTACAAACTGGTGTAAACAAAATGTCTATTTTATTGCAGAAGCCTTGGAATGATGAGTCAGAAACTGTACATGTTTAACAAAAAAAACATGTTTCTGCTGGATGGAACCCAGGAATTCTTGTTTGTAAAGTGCAATTTTCTTTCCGAGCCACACCCAGCCAGAGCTCCAGTGCAAGCCACTGAAGAGAAGTAGTTACGTCAACTACCTTACACACCAGCCCGGAGGAGTACATGAAGCAAGGGAGGAGCACTAAGGGAAGGAGGACGAGAGTTAGGGGGCTGAGCCCTGGAGCAGACGAAGTGGGGGCAGAGGGAGCAGAGGAAGGAGTGCACATGGCACTGCCAGGCTGAAGAAAAAACAGGCTTTCGTTTCAGCTTTCTAATTAATCAGCAATACACATAAATGTTTTTACTTCCTAAGCTGGCAGACACACTAGCACAGGATTACTGAAACTGTTAGTCTGGAACAAACTCTCCAAGTAGAGCCATAAATAAAATACTCTGTACTGTACCAGTACTGGGGACCAAACAAGCCCCAGGACAGGAGTTCACCCATCCCTAAGGGAAAGCACTGGAAACCGAAGATAATTAATAAAAATATACTGTCGCCTAAAAATTCTAACCCACGTTCTATTGGATGCTAAGAGTGTGATGGCAAAAAAGAAGTCGCTCCCCACTCTATTTGTAAATCCAGTGGATTGAGATCCTGGCACAACTGGGCTATGCAAGGGACAAAACGATGGGACATGGACTACTTTAAGTTAGTACAGACCCTACATCTTAAACTTCAAGGTTCTTAAAGGTGGAAAACATAGCATTTTTGAATGCCTATCTTTCAATAATACAGAATTTTTTTTAAAAAAGATTTTATTTACTTATTCATGAGAAACAGAGAGAGAGAGGCAGAGACACAGGCAGAGGGAGAAGCAGGCCCCATGCAGGGAGCCCGACATGGGATTCGATCCTGGATCTCCAGGATCTCACCCTGGGCCGAAGGCAGGCGCCAAACTGCTGAGCCACCAGGGATCCCCAAGAATACAGAATTTGAAGACAAGACATTCAGTAAAGCCAAGTAACAGGTAACACATATACATACAAGAACACCAGGAAACCTTAAAATGTTTTAAACCAAAATGAAATAAGAAAGATCTTATTTGCAAGTCTGAATATTTTTACTTTTTCTAAAACCACACCTTTCCTTCTTTTCTTTGGGATGGGAAGTATGGTAGAGAAGGCTAAAGGTGAGCCAGACAAACAGGGATTGGATGGGCACAAGGGCGGAAACTGGAAGGACTGCGGGCACCTGGGTGGCTCACTCTCAAATAAATAAATAAAATCTTAAAACACACATACACACACAAAAAAAACCCCTTATAGATGGACCAAAAATTTTATTTCAAAAATGGGAAGAAAAGTAAATTATGATTTTTTTGTTGGTATCCTAAAGTCCCACAGCACTACCTGTTAACTTATGTTGCTGCTACTAGCACCACTAGCATTTGGGAAGTGATTACTTGTATCACGATGGAGGTGAACACTTTCAGTGGAAAGCAGGAGTCCAGGGCTGCCTAAACTAGAAACGTTTGTTATATACCAAACCTGGTATAGCTGGTGACACAGCTTTGAAATCAGACCTTTTATTCCGAAGAGTAATGAACTGTACCATGCAGCTATTTTGAGCTAACTGGTATCTAGATGTTTCAAAAGAACATTAATAACATGCAGGTATCTGCACACCACACAACAGGGAGCATTTCTCTGTCTTTTGACTTAATGACATTAAGTCTTAAAGATATTCCTTATCCTCAAGAGCTTCATGATTGGTGTACAGTTAAGTTTTTCTAGAATAAAAATCAAGAGAAAATTAGCTGAAGTTGCTATAGTGATGAAAAAAACCACACCAGTTCCTTACTTTGAAAAAGATTCAGTGAAAACCACAACTGAGTAGCTTGAATTTTTTTCCTTTTGCCAGCTGACTCAAAACCAAAAATATACAAAAAAGCTCCTAGCAACTGAGTCACCATTGTTTTTTTACGATGAATCATTAACTAAACACATTCATGAAAATCCAAATGGTTTTAAAAATTACTTGAACCAAATCTTTTAATAGGGCTTGATTTATTAAAAATTCAATTTCCAACTATATTCTTTCACTTTTCAGAAAACCAGTTCTATCACAGGCACTGAACTCACAGGAAAACAAAAAGGCCTTAGAACTCTTAAAATGCATGCACTAACCCTCTTGCCATTTACTCATGAGAACAGCTTTTCTCACTTAATACTAATATAATTTCCTAATGTGCAACAGAATGGCATAACCTAATTACAAATGAGGAGAAGAGAGCAATAAGCAGTGAGGAACCAGCACACATCAGTAAGTAACGACCACGGAAGGTATGAGAAGTCTCAGATCAAAACTGGTTCCACACTGCAAGGAGCAAAGGAAAAGCATACCTTTCTTTAACTGCTTTTGTTTACAGTGTCCATGTCTGTGTAAGAAGGCAAGGAAGCGAACACTTAAGGGTTCTAACCCATAATCAAAATCTTTCAGTGTTTGGAAGGGACAAACTTAGTAGTTCTGGGAAGTATATGTTTAGCTGATGTTGGAGAAATGAAAGGGAAAATATTTCACTTATTTTTTATTAACATTTAAAAGTTATAGAACACCTACGTATATGTGCTCATCAAAGCTGAAACACAGGAAAAACTGAAATCTCTCCTAACTAGCACTATGTAATCCCCATCTCCCTACGGGTGACCATTCATAGCAAGTGTGTGTGTGTGTGTGTGTGTGTGTGTGTGTGTGTGTATGTCCTCCCAAATAATTTGCCTGCATTTAAATACATACTATCTATTGAACATAGAGCTTTGTCTGGTGCTTATGTATTGAACTTACTTCCCAACGGATGGAGGAAAGATTATACGTTAAGAGGGGAGGGTTTTGTTCATTGGTTT